CAGCCGCTGAACCCGCCTCTTGACCTCGCGAACACATATTACATTTGGATTCAGCCTAGCCCACCCGCCGGTCCGCACTACACCATCATATGTACTTTTGTGGGTTAATCAGTGCACAATCTTGACCATGCTGCAGAAATATGATGGAAGAAACCTGGCCTAGTTGCCAAGAATATAGCCCTGCTCATGCGTTGCAAGGCCCCAAAAAAACTTTTTTTTTAAGTTTGGGACCCCAGCCACCCTAACATGGCTTTATATGTGCTATTTATACCTCACTCCAAGCAGGATTATCCACTCTCTGCCAGCTGGACAATTCATACAGGGCTGAATATGACTGGACAATTGCTGGACACCTTGGAACGGTCCAGATGCTGCCCAGCAGTGGCGCTGGCCATTTTCGTAGGACCTGTCCATTGTCCAGCAGGCCTCACTAGGTACATATTTTTGTGACCGAATTAAGTGTAATTAGGGGGTGGAAAAGGTAACCTGAGGTGCTTATTACCGTCGGATATGAAGAGGAACGTGTTTCATCCTCATGAATTGCAGCTTCTCAAGATGGGTCAGCGCGCAAAGGGTCGATGATCCCAGGCAAGGATATGATTGCACGGAGGAACGGTCGAAACTCAGTAGTCAGCGCCGGTTTCTGCGCGCGGGTGGGCTGCAGTCCACAGTGGCCGCGTCCTCTGTTTTCTCCGTCCCGCCGCATCAACGCACGGCTTTCTGGAGCAAAAGACCAACCACCCCCCTACTTAGCTCCGCATCGTACAGCTCTCGGCGCCGCTGACCGGTATGCTTGACACATTCCTCCACCCTTGTACCTGTCCCCGTCTTCTTGGCGGGCAAAGGAAGTAGGCAGGCCTTCTCCGGGCGCGCAAGCCCCAGTCGTGTCCTGTCGTTTCTGCCTTGCTGTCTTGTCATCAATCAGCGTGCGCGTCGAAGCGGGGACGATCGGTCTCCCCTTGCCGCGGCGAGCACGTCCGCCGGCCATGTTCGCGTGTCTATAAGTATGCTCGGCGCTCAGCGTCTTGCTCAGGCTCTCTTTCCCGTAGCCGTCCCGCTCGTTCAGTCTCGTTTTATTTTCCTCCGGCTTTTCGCAGGAATCGTCGTCAGCATGTTCTCTCGTGCCATCTCTCTCGCCCTCGTGGCTCTCTTCGCCCTCTTCGCCCTCGCGGCCGCCACACCTATGCCAGGCGACGTAACAGTGACCAAGACCGTCACCGACACTGTCACCGTCACTGCTGTGAGTAGACTGATCTCTTCCACGCGCCCCTTTCCGAACTCAAACCCGATCTTATTCCTCTGTCCGTTCCAGACTGGGCCCGCCACCACCGTCACCGCCAAATCCGTCAGCCAGTGCAACACCGGCAACCTGCAGTGTTGCCAGCACACCGCGGACGCGAGCGACCCCGTCACGGGCCTCCTGCTCGGCCTCCTGGGCATCGTCGTCGAGGCCGTCGACGGCCTGATCGGCATCAGCTGCTCACCCATCAGCATCGTCGGCCTCGGGTCCGGGTCGGCGTGCAACGCTTCGCCCGTCTGCTGCGAGAACAACACCTTCGTGCGTACATAGTCCCGTTCTTGTTACCTCTCTGTCAAATGTTCTTGACATGTGTCGCCGTGCTTGCAGACCGGACTCATCGTGATCGGCTGTGTGCCCATCAACATTATCCTGTAATCGCCTCCCAGTTGTTCTGTTAGCTACTTCGGCTAGAAATAAGGCATAATGGGATGCATCAATGGGATCCGATCACACTTGCTTCGCTCTGAGCGGATCTCTTTAAGGATCTCTTCAAGCCTCCCATCAGCGTGGGGTTTCCTGAGCGAACGCATGCCTCTCAAGGACTAGGCCTTACGCCATCATATAGTGCGCCGTTTTGCTACATCGATTACATTACAGGTAATATCTACCGTACATTTTTGCTGCTTCGAAGCGCTGCACTCTACTGATACGTAGATGTGTAGATGACATGTAGTTAGTCGTACATTGAGTTCAGTGTTTTTCATGGTTCCTGGGTCCCACGCGACATATTCTCCGACGTTCGTTATGAACGTCCAAACCCCCGAGTCGCTTTTGTTTTATCCCAACACGCTTGCGAGTAGCGCCATGCGAACCTGTGAAGACCGCATGAGCAATGCATCTTAGGATGACGAGTTGAAATGCGTCGCTCACGAATAGACCGTAACGCATCTGTCGGAAGTACACCGCCCTTCGCGAGTCGAAGTCGACCTCGGGATCGATTTCTGGATGCAGAAACAGTGAGAACGGCATTCAGTAACGCCCCATGCAAACTGGACTGACCGTTGACCCTCGGCAGTGGGTGCATGACGATCATATCCTCCTTCGCGCGTGCCAGCAGGGCATGGTCGATCTTGTAGGCGTCCTTGACCTGCTCCCACTCGGCCTCGCTGGTGAACCGCTCTTTCTGCACGCGCGTGACGTACAACACATCCGTATCGCTGAGGACTTCCTCGAGCGAGTCCGTGATCGTGACGTGTACACCGGCCTTGCGTGCTGCCTGGACGACAGAGTGCGGCATCGCGAGCGATGCGGGCGCCACGAAGTTGAGGCGGACGCTGTATAGGCACAGCAGTGTCACCAGCGAGTGCACGGTGCGCCCGTTTTTGAGGTCTCCAAGGAGCGTGATCGTCCGGCCGTTCACGGTACCAAGTTCGGAGCGTATCGTGTAGACGTCCAAGAGCGCCTATTACAAGTACTGTCAGTAAGCCATGGCACTGACGGAAACGCGACCAATGTTCACCTGCGTCGGATGCTCGCCAACGCCGTCTCCCGCGTTCAGGATGGGTACAGGTGAAAACTTGGCTGCCGTCTGCGCGCTGCCTACGGCCGGATGACGAATGACGATGCCGTCAGCGTAGCACCCGAGCGTGCGTATCGTGTCCGCGAGACTCTCGCCCTTCGTCACAGACGACTGGTCCGCGTTCACGTTGATCACCTCTCCACCGCATCTCTTCATCGCCGCGTCGAAGGAGGAGCTAGTCCGCGTCGACGGCTCGTAGAACAGCGTGCAGAGCACCTTGCCCTTGAGAATGTCGAGCGTACCACTGCGCTCGACCTGCAGCCGCATCTCGTGCGCAATGGCGAAGAGATCGTACAGGTCCTTCTGCGTGAATTGCTTGACGGAAAGGATGTGACGGCGATGGAAAGTCGGGTGCGGCTTGATGTCCTGGAACAGGATCGGACCTTGCAGCGATGCGAGCGTCGCCGCGTCTTGGCTCGAAGGCAGCTCCTGTAACTTCGGGCGCGGGGAAGAGAGCGCGACGACACCCTCCGGCTTGGAGATCGACGCCCGCCGCTCCACCTTCGGGTGACTAATCGTCGCACCGGAGATGTCCCTGCCCACTGGGTACGTCGACAAGTTCCCGTCGAGCAGTACCGTCTGACCATGAACGACAAGTCTATGCAGCACGCCGGAGATGCGGCTGCCAGAGAGAGGCGACCAGCAGGAGTTGCGCCCCTTGAAGGCGGCTTGACGACCGATAACGACCTCGACGTGTGTGCTAACTTGCTCAGGCAGAGCGAAGATCTTGACCGGATTGTCATGCAAGCGACGCTTGATGTCGTCGAACGTGAGGCGGCCTTGGGAAACCGCAGAAAGCAGGAGCGGTAATGTCTCCTCGCAACCGGACGCTGCGGAAGCCGATTGACCTTGTTCTGTGGCGAGGCGGAAAGGCGCAGCTCCAATGGAGAAGACGTCGATCGCGTCGAGGTTCTGCCAGAGGACCTTCTGATCTTCAGGCGAAGGCAGAACCTTGCTCTCGGGGAAGTCGGCTGTACTGTAGAAGAGGGAGTACACCGCGACGTCGCAGGTAACCTGAAGCTGCTTAGCCTTGCTAAGGGAAATCAGCAGCAAGTCGTCTTTACTGCGGACTCCAGTGACGTGCAAGGGCTGGTTGTACAGACTCGCAAGGAGGAGGACAGAGGCGAGATTTGACCCTTCGGCATCCGTCACGACGAGTCTGTCATTAGGCCATGACGAGAAATGTGCGGCGACGGTAGCGGTTGAGGTCAAGAGATGCTCGCCTCTGAGAGGAACGAACAAATACTTGACGTCCGTCAGTATCTCCTCGTCGAATGTTTTGGCGTTGGAGGCGGTCGCCGCGATGCTGATGGCGTAGTTGCAATGCGCCGAGGTAGCCACCTTCGCGTGAGCACGCTCTAACGATGACCGATCCCCGATGATGTTCTTGTCTCCTACGGGAAGTAGGAGAGCGGTGGTGAAGCCTCCCTTCAAGGAGGCTGTCATCGCCTCCGCGTACTCATTGCCACTAGCATCGAGGACATCGGGAAGGAATGCTGCAACGTTGACGAGGCCAGGAAGGGTATGAGTCGTGTGTGAGCTCTTCGAGTCGATGGAAGACACATCCAACGGTAACCTCCGAACAAGCGCCTCGACGAGGAGTTTGGCGCACTTGACGTTCGTGATCAGCGGGATGGCAAAATCCACGGCCATACGACGGCTGCGATAACCCTTGCTGATGTAGTTCGCCGGACGCCGGTAGTGGTTCCTCGACGGAAGGTTGATATACATATCGATGAGGTTGTTCGCGAGATGTTGCGTAAGCGAGTATTCGGATTTCTGCTCACGACTGTCGTCACCCAATGCCTCTAGGTACTGTGCCATACCATCAGGATAGGCTCGTAAGAGGCAATTGAAGAACTGTACCTTGCAGGGAACGTTGTGCTCCTCGAGGAAATCTGCCGTACCCGAAGTCGCAAAGATATTGTAACCGGCGGCGACCAACTTCTGAACAGAGGGGAGCAGCTCGAGCTTCTCCTTGTATCCACCGATAGAGAAGAGGATGTTCTTCTTCGGCGGCAGGATACCGGCGGATATGAGCGCCTTTAGGTATGCCTCGTACTTGTCCTTTCCGAAGCATGCCACCTCTCCAGTCGAGGCCATCTCGACTCCGAGTACGGGGTCCGCGCCAGACAATCGGCTGAAACTGAACTGGGGTACCTTAACGCCGACATAGTCCGGTGGGAGGTTGAGCTCGGGATAAGGCTCGACCGGGAGTCCGAGCATGACCTTGGTAGCCATCTCAATCGCATCGACGCCGGTGACCTTGGAGACGAAGGGGAAAGACCTCGCAGCACGCAGGTTGCACTCGATGACCTTGATCTCGTTATTCTTCGCGATGAACTGGATGTTGTAGGGCCCAGTGACGTTGAGAGCATTCCCGATCTTAGCTGTAGCTTCCTCGATCTGGCGGACTGTTGCCGGGTCGAGATCCTGCGGAGGGTGAATCAAGGTCGCGTCACCAGAGTGAACGCCGGCGTTCTCGACGTGCTCAGAGATGTAGTGCATGATCAGTTTTCCATCCTTGGCAACGGCGTCCATCTCGATTTCCTTTGCCTGTTCGATGTACTTCGTGATGACCACGGGGTGCTCTCGAGACACGGCGGTGGCTTGGCTGAGGTAGTTGACCAGGTCGTTCGGACTTGATACCACGTTCATGGCGGCGCCGGAGAGCACGTAGGACGGCCGAACAAGCACCGGGTAGCCAACCTTGTCGCAGAAGGCGTGAGCTTCGTCCATGGTTGTCAGCTCCTTCCACTGCGGCTGGTCGACGCCGATGTTGTCCAACATGCGCGAGAACTTGTACCGATTCTCTGCAGTGTCAATCATTTCGGGAGATGTACCGTATATCCGGACGTTCTGGCGATGAAGCGGGAGCGCGATGTTGTTCGGCGTCTGGCCACCCATGGACAAGATGACTCCGCGAGATCGTTCCGTGTCGTAGATGTCGAGGATCGTTTCGAGACTGATGTTCTCGAAGTAAAGCCTGTCGGCTTCGTCGTAGTCGGTACTGACGGTCTCTGGGTTGTAGTTGACCATGACAGTCGGGAGGCCTTGGTCGCGGATCGTGCGGATCGCCCGGACGGCGCACCAGTCGAACTCGACGGAAGAACCGATACGGTAAACACCGGATCCGAGCACCATGATGCCTTGGTCGATGAACGTAACGTCGTGTTCGACCGCGTTGTAGGTGGTGTAGAGGTAATTTGTGAACGCGGGGAACTCTGCTGCGACAGTATCGATTTGCTTGACGTAGGGTGCAATGCCATTTTCCTGTCTCAAACGCCTAAGCGCAAGCTCCGTGGATCCCACGCAGGTCGCGAGCTGCCTGTCGGAGAACCCAAGTTGCTTTGCTTGACGAAGCAGATCGGGTCCGATGGTCGACAACGTACAGGTTCTAAAGCTGAATTAAAATTCAGGCGTAGGTAAAGCTAGTGAAATGACTCACGAAAGGTGCTGCTCCATATCGAAGATATACTTGAGCCTTGTCAGAAACCACTTGTCGATGTTCGTCATTTGCCAGATCTTGTCGACTGAGTATCCTAGATGGAACGCCGTCGAAATGGCAAAGATACGCTTGTCGGTAGGGTTGACCAACTCCTCGTCGATGTCATCTACGAGATCGTTCTGCAAAAGGTAGTTAGGACTTCGTCTGCCGACTCTTCTGCGACCATGTATTCACCTTCGAGAACCCAGAGAACTGATCGTCGATAGCACGGATGGCCTTCTGGATAGTTTCCTCGAAGGTTCGGCCAATGCTCATCACCTCGCCGACGGACTTCATGCTACTGCTGAGGAGCCGGCTGACGCGGTTGAACTTCTTGAGGTCCCATCTTGGGATCTTAACGACCACGTAATCGAGACTAGGCTCGAAGCACGCCGAGGTAACCTTCGTGACCGAGTTCCTGATCTCGTTGAGAGGTATATTGAGACCAAGCTTGGCCGCAATAAACGCCAGAGGATATCCGGTGGCCTTGGAAGCCAGGGCGGATGAACGGGACAGACGAGCGTTGACCTATGAAAAAGCATCTTAGCAACCGCTCACTCTCAAGCTTATTCAACATACCTCGATGATGCAATACTCCTTCGATGTCGGGTTCAGAGCATACTGGATGTTGCACTCGCCCACGACGCCAAGGTGGCGGATAACGTTGATGGCAGTCGTCCGGAGCATGTTGTAATCCGCATCCGAGAGCGTCTGAGAGGGAGCCACAACAATCGAGTCCCCGGTGTGGATACCTAGAGGGTCGAAGTTCTGGCGATAACCTATCAGGAACCATGCTCATGACCCCGAGACCGGATTAAAGAAACCAACCTCCATGTTGCAAACCGTGATGCAGTTGTCCCTGCAATCCCTCACAACCTCGTATTCGATCTCCTTCCAGCCCTTCATACTCTTCTCCACGAGCACCTGCGGGCTCGTCGCGAACGCCTTGCTGCAAAGCGCCCTCAACTGCTCCTCGTTCTGCGCAAAACCGGACCCTAAGCCACCAAGCGCGTATGCCGCACGGACGATGACCGGGAAGCCAATCTCCTCCGCAGCCGCCACGGCCTCCTGCGGCGTTGTCGCCGTCCTGCTCATCGCGCACCGTTCCCCGATATCCTCCATCGCGCTCGCGAACAGCTGGCGATCCTCCGTCGTGATGATGGTGTCGATCGGCGTGCCAAGCACCAGGCAACCGAGGCTCGCGAACTCGTCCTTCAGCTTGATTCCGACGTTGAGCGCGGTCTGGCCGCCGAAAGTGACGTAAATACCGTCCGGCTTCTCGTACTTGATGATCTTGCGCACAAACTCGGGGGTGACGGGTAGGAAGTAGACCTTGTCGGCGAGGCCCTTGGACGTCGCGATGGTCGCGATGTTCGGGTTGACGAGCACGGTGTATACGCCCTCCTCCTTCAGCGCCTTGATCGCCTGCGAGCCTGAATAGTCGAACTCGCCTGCCTGGCCGATGGAAAGACCACCCGAGCCGAGGATGAGCACCTTACGCACGTCCACCCGAGGCGTACGCGCTTCATTCTCTGCCTTGAAGCCTCCAGGCATTGAGATAGGGTGGGGCACACCGGTGTTGACGATGTCGACGATGTTCTGAATGAAGACGTCAAACAGGAACTCGGTATCACGAGGACCGGGCGTCGACTCGGGGTGGAACTGGACGGAGAAGAAAGGCTTGTCTTCGCAGTAGATACCCTCGTTACTGCCATCATTCGCGTTCTTAAAAAGTTCCTTCCAGCCCTTCGGTAAGGTCGTGGTGTCGACCTGATATCCGTGGTTCTGACTCGTGATATAGCAACGCCCGCTCAGTGCATCCGTGCAGGGAATGTTGTGGCCGCGATTACCGTACTTCATCTTCGACGTTTGGGCACCGGCCGCGAGCGCCAGGAGCTGATGGCCCAAGCAAATACCGAAGATGGGCTTATCGCCCTTCTCGAGTGCTTTACGCAGACGAGCAATCGTCTCCGGAACCATGGTGGGGTCGCCCGGTCCGTTGGAGATGAAGAGGCCATCGAAGGGCTCCTCGGATGCCGCGAGGTAGTCGTAGTCCCACGGTACAACTTTGAGCTCGATGCCGCGATGGGTGAAGCAGCGAATCTGGTTGAACTTCATCCCAACGTCTACTGCGACGACGCGAAGCGGACGTCCTGAGGGGTGCAGGCGAGGCTCGACCGTCGGTTTGTGGACTCGCGCTTCCTTGCAAGACACCACCTGGACAAGGTTCTGCGCGTTCGGATCTGAAAAGGGGACGTCCAGATAGTCTTCTCTCCATGTACCCAAGGCAGGAGGGGAAGGGGCGCGTGATGCTGGCACGGATCCGGGAACGAGTGACCTCCTACGCTCTTCTGGGGCATCTCCGCGCCTAGCGAGGACTTTCCCAAGCATGGAACCTTTCTCGCGGATCCTTTTGGTGAGCGCACGGGTGTCTACACCGTACAGGGCGGGTACACCTTGCTCTTTTAGCCATGCCCCGAGCGAGGAAGAGGCGAGGAAGTGGCTGTAATCTTCCGAATAGTAGCCAACGATTACGGCGGCGACGTGTATACGCGACGATTCGAAGTCGAGCGGGATTTCGTCGACCGGCCTCTCTTCGCGCGAGGGAACACCGTAGTTGCCGATCAGCGGGTACGTGAGGATAAGGATTTGACCCTCGTAGGACGGATCGGTCAGAGACTCGGTATAACCGACCATGCCTAAACGCGCGTTCAGATCACTCACTGTCAGTGCCTTACTCAGAGAAACTCACCTGTCTGGAAGACACATTCTCCTGCGACGCTCTTGCCCTCGACACCGAAGCTAGTGCCTCGATAGGCCGTCCCGTCAGAGAGTTCGAGGACTCCATCAACGATTCTCGTGCTCCCGTCCCTTGCAATCGGTGTCGTCGCCCAGGGCGCCGGGGACCCGTTTGGGAAGTTGCTCGCAGCCCTGGCGAGCGTCGGACGGACTGGTCCAAGTTTTCCACCGGGATTGGACAGCGCCATTCGTTTCGTGGGTGTAAATGAATGTATTTAGGTCGTCGTAGGTTGTCCTTCTCTTCCTCCGCACGCGCCGAGTTGTCGAGTGGAGAGGAAGAGAAGAAGAGGAAAAAGTTATCGCGCACCCGCCTATGAGCCATCGAATCTCCACGTGAGTCATTGAATCGTCATGTACACTGCCCGGACGCGCCATCTTGATCTCAGATATTCCGAGGATGATACCCGTCGACGGTCTGGAACCACAAGTTACCGATATCGTAGAACCTCAAGAGAGCTGGAGCATCGCGGACCTGAATCTCGCTTTGCTGATTGGGTACCATCGCCGCTTCGTCGGTGTCTGAATGCGCATTATGCAGATTCGGAATCTCGAATAACGACGGGTCTTGTGAGCTTTGCAGCGAACGAGCCAAGCCTCAGTATGAGAGCTAAGAACAGAGGGAAGCTCAACTTACCACGCACAGTTCCACGCTAGAGCTAGACTTTTAACTCCGTTAACAGTGGACGAGCAACGGATGATAGCGCCTTTCGCCCGAGGTAGACACGATGATCATCGTCATACGGCGCTCGGCGGCTTCGATACTGCGAGTTTGTGCAGACGTGTCATATATTCATAAAGCAGCCACATAAATCTATGACTTGCTTGAGTTTGGTTCTATGCGATACGGTCACCGCATGTGCGACTGGGCTCTGCCTCAAGAGAATCACTGACCGTAGCTTGTTGTATAGGGCGGTGGAATGCTCACTAGCATAGTTGATCGCTACAGCATCTGACTGTACAACAGAGCAGGAACCTTGTTGCCAGTGGGCGGATGAGATTCTGATTCAGATAATGCTCGGACCTTGAGCTACGACTTCATCATATCTGTCGATGCCGGTATGTACTGTGGGGAGTGAAATATGAGAAGTTGACTGAAACCCATGACGAACACTAGTTTTGCATGTCAATTCTCATCGTGACTAACTCACGAAATATTATCCGGAGACGAATCACGGGAGTACTTCGCTCTAGCGATCTTTATACGCAAAATTCCACATCCGTTCACCCACCAGTTCGTGTATGCAGACTTTCCATTCGAACCAGCGGATCATTGAACAGATAGGTGCACAAAAAGTACATGCAGCGTAGCACCGCGTCATCCAGGTTACGACTACAAAGAGGAAACATTCCGAACAGGCAGTTTCCAGCCAGAATATCGTAGACAGCAATGCACACCGCTACTCAAACAACGTTCCGTCCACTCAAAGAGAGAGGTTGACGGGGACGCAGCCGATTCCGATGAGGCCGGAAAGAAGGCCCTTGGCTGTAGGGATACCATGAGCGGGAAATCCTACGGTATGCATGTCAAGAGTTCCTTACCGTTGTCAGTGTTCGTGCAGCAGACAGGACTGGCGCTGCAGCTGTTCCCACCGACACCGACGACGGAGATCGGGGAGCAGTTCAAACCGATGGGGATATCAACACCTGAGAATGTAACGCTCTGTCAGTTTCGACAGACGCGTATATTTTCCTAGCGAGCTCACCGCTGACGACGATGCCAAGGAGGCCGAGCAAGAGCGAGGTGACGGGGTCCGAAGTGGTGGTGGTAGAGTCGCAGCACTGGATGGAACCGGTGTCGCAGCTCTGGCGAGCAGAGAGCTGGGTGGGGGAGGCGGCGGCAAGGATGGCAAGCGACGAGGTTGCGAAAAGGACGGCGGACTTGAACTGCATTGTGAATAGTTCAGAAGGGAGTAAGCGGTGCGAGTGCAGGTCGGGATGGAAGAGCTCGAGTGCTTGTCGCAGTGCTGAGGAGCTAATGACGAGCAGAGGAAGCTTTTATACCACAAATCCAACCTCGGGTAAGGGCTGCACAGCGCACACGCTGCAGACCGTGATAGTACGAGAAAAGGTTATATTGTGTTGTGTGGAGCCCATCGCGTCCATTGGTGACGGCGTTGAGTGAGAGAAGACGGCGTAGGCGATGTATAGGAATCCGTATCAGATGAACGACTTGTGATCTGGAACGCACTCACATCCATTTCCGGAGTCGTTCGCCGGTGAAATCCTGCTTTTTACAGAAGCTGCACGTTACATATCCGAAAGCGAGCCAGAATCAGAGGGTTCTTCTTTGAATCAGCTGAATTGCGGGCTTAGAAAGGGATATTGCGAGTGAAGTGTTTTCCCCAGAGATGTCCGCATCGTCCACATAGAAAATGACGCACCCATCAGGGTCGTTGACGGTCGAAATACGTGGACAACTCTGCTGCTGCCTTGGAACCCCATGCAGCAGCAAAGCCCGAGATGAGCACACAGTGTTTTCTTAACCATGGTTGTTTCAAAGAAGTCGCCAAGTCAGGGTGAGAGCCCAAAAGCTATATTAGCAGATATAGAGGCACCGATTGCTCCTGGACAGCCGCCCCGGCAGACAACTAGAAAGCTTCTGGGCGTCGGCTCGCTGTGAAAAGAGGCGTCCACGTTGATGCAGGTAGGAAACAAGGCGGACGTAGAGAGCTCGACTTGGCAGGATTATCCAGGAAAACGGACAGTCGGACACGAGTCGGAAGTTCATCGAGCCTGCGACGGAACTGTCAGACCTTGGGACACGGTCGCCAGGCGATCACCCTCGACCGGCACTCGGGGATGCTTCTCGTCGGCGTTTTCTCGCCTTGTCTTCTCTTCCTTTTTGTCTGATTAAGGCCGTCAGCCATACCTGGGAACACCATTACATGAGCGCAGCGATGACAACTGTGTAAGAACGGGGTGAGCATCCAGCGTCATGCATCCTATTGTATGTCAGGTGGTGTTCAAGGCATACATGACATGCTCCTTCCGGATCTCCGAGCAGCACATGGGAAGCCTCCATGGCCGGCCTGGCAATTGTAAAGAGCACGAGAGCCTAAAATCAACTACGCAGATACAAAAGTTTATTCAACCATTGAGTCATACCTAGGAATAGAGAATCGGGGTCCGAAGCGAGCATCCTGTTGGACACCCGCCTTCGCTCCTTCTTGCTCGCTTGTAATGCTATAGCATCATCGGGGAAGATAGCATACCGGCTGTTCCGTCGATATATGATTACGTCAAATCGATGACGAGCAAACTCGCCTGCGCACGCAGCCATACACAGCTGTCCCTCCGAAAATATGCATTCAGGTTCTGTGCACCCAGGACTGCCCCACGCGTACCTGAACCCTTCACGATAATTTCCGCGTTGCCTCCGAGTACACAGATTGAGATACTGCAACGAACCGCATGGTTGATCATCTGAACAGGCACCTAACGTCGTCACCACATTCCCAAGTACAACACGTGTGTTTTCGGCAAAGCAAGGACTCTGTAGGTCATTATGGTCATAAACACATGCCAAGAGCAGTCTAAACAATCGTCGGCGGCCTGCAACCGGAGCAAGAATGAGGCCCAGATATCATCACAGCGAGTCACAGTGAGCAATCTACTCAGAATCAGAATCGGAGTCGCCATCGTGACCGGTATCCCCATGCTTGAAGAGCGCCAACAGCTCGTCCATGCCGAGCTTGTTCAACAACTTGACCTTGTCGCCGCTGAGCGCAGCGGCAGCGAGGACGCGCTTTTGCTCTTGGAGCTGCCATCTCAATGAGTCATGGGAGCCTAGGATGTAGTAGAAGAGCGCTCACAGCGAGTATCCTGTCCTCGACGGTCTCGGGTACGCATAGCTTGTAGATATTCACCGGTCTAGTCTGGCCCATGCGATGAGCGCGATCGAAGGCTTGGTCTTCCAGAGCCGGATTCCACCAAAGATCCACCAAGATCACGTTGTTACAGGAAGTCAAGTTCAAACCTGGGCGGGCGGGGGGTCAGCGGTCTCGTGAAGGTGACCGTGAGCCACCCGTACCTGTACTGCCCGCCTTGAATGATATCAATATGACCTTGACGCTGTCACTAGTGCGAATCTTGGTCAATGCGAGGTCCCGCTCGGGCTTGGACATGCTTCCATCATCTACGAATGCATCCATCAGTTATGCAACGCAGTAATTGAGCGAAGGACTTACATCGCACGTGTCGAATACCAGCATCTTTGAGGAACGGCTGTAGTAGGTCCAACATGGACGTGAATTGAGAAAATACGATTGTCTTTTCGTCGCCATCGCCCCGATTCTGAATCTCTTGCAGGAGATCCAGAATCCTGCGAATCTTTGTCGAGGAAGCTGGCAAGTCCGGATTAGTGACAGATCGTCGGCGCGCTTGTCGCTCGATCTGAGCTTCGCAATCTAGACAGTTCTGCGACTCTTTCGAGGCTGAATTGTCATCGTCGAGACTGTCGTGGTCTCGACTGAGCCAGGCCGCATGGACAAAGATCGATCGACGACAACTTACGTTTCAAAGCAGATAGTGCACTTGCGAATCTTTGCTTCCTCAACACCGAGCTTCGAGAACATGCCCGCAAGCTCATCCTCTTGCTCTTCCTCGAGGTTCTGATTCTTCGCCGGGCGAGACTCCAGAGCAGCGCTGTCGACTTTGAAATCCTTCGACACCAGCGCCGGATGGTTACACGCTGTCAAGGAATGTATGAAGTACGTTGATGACATGATGGCAGAGAACGCACCTTGACGCAGGCGCAGAAGCAAGATCAGGACAGTTGTGTAATTCTTCATGATAACCCCGGCGTTTTGCAGCTTGTTCATCTGTGCTTCGACTTTGCTCTGAATGCTTTCGTAGAAGAGTCGTTCGTCGTTATCGAACAGGCAAGAAACGATCTCGACTGTACGAGGTGGAAGCTCCACGAGAGGTTTGCCGTTTATAAGGTCTGTCTTCAATCGTCGGAGCATGATTGCGCGAAGGACGATCTGACCAAGGTTCAGATATCCCCTATTACGCCCCAATTGAACCAGGCCTTTACCTGCAAACGTTTCATCGCCCGAGCCGACTTCCCGCTCTTGACTGGCTTGTTGATATGTGTGTTAAAGTGATCCCAGTCATTCAATGGTCTGATCCCGAGGAACTTGAAGAGAGAGTACAGTTCCTCGACATTGTTCTGCCTGATCATACGATCAGCTACTGTTCGTGTAATGCCGGGTCCAATGAGGACAGCTCACATCGGTGTACCCGTGAGGACCCATCTGAACTTAGCCTCCAGAGCGCAACACGCCTGAGCGGCTTTCGTATTCCGATTCTTAATCGTGTGCCCCTCGTCTGCAAGGGACCAAGCTTCAGTAGCGGCTGCATCAATCGCGCGCTTCCACTGACCTAGTACCACCCGGAACCATTTGACGTCGAATAGCGCTGCTTTCACAGCTTTGGCCTTCGGTTTAGCCTTTTTCTTGGCCAACGACCGGCCAAACGCGGATGAATCGTCACTATCGGCGCTTGATGAGTCGTCCGACGAGACAGATTGCTTCTTTGCCTTGCCGCTCTTGGCACTTTCGTCCTTAGCGCCAGTGCCATGAGAAGCGTATTCGCTAGCCAGAACTTGGTAGGTGGTGACGACGACATGGTGGCTGGTCAACTCCCTGGGATCTACGGTTGTGAGCATCATCAGCAAAAATACGCGAACAGTTGCAATCTTCGTACCTTTCGTCCGCGAAGGGCCATGATGTTCCTTCACAAGCAGTTCGGGTGCATATTTCTTGACTTCGGCAACCCACTGCGTCACAAGTGCGACAGGGCAAACGATGAGAGTAGTCGGGGACCAGCCGTCCTTCTTATCGCTCTTCTTCGCGCGTCCTTCGTGGATACGCACGAGTGTCTGTACGGTCTTGCCGAGGCTAGAAGGCGAGCGTTTAGAACGACGATGGCGACAAAAAATGTACTGCATACCCCATGTCGTCTGCAAGGATACCCCCGTACTTCTTGCCTTGTTCACGCTCGCGCATCCACTTCCGACTCTTCCGCTGATGAGGTTGCAGCACGACGTTCATGCCCTCAACGTACGCATCTTCTTCTTCTTCCTCCTCCTCCTCCTCGCCTTGCTCATCGTTCACGTGCGACTGCAAGAGATCGCGCAAATCCTTCTCCGCGTCCCCCGCCGTTTTGCGAACTTCAAACGTGTTGCGGACGTCGTCCGTCTCCTCAAAACGCTCTTCATCGGCATCGGCGAGAGGCGGGCGCTGGGGCGGAGGAGTAAAGGACGGCTTGTTCGACGGTATGGTGATCGGGTTAGCCTTGGCCCCAGAACCGAAAGCAGGAGCTTTGGGCGGGGCCTGTGGGGGCATTGTCGGATTGCTGGCAAAAGCCGGAGCAGGCTGTGGAACCGGAAAAGTCGGAGGAGGGGATACATCTCTCACTTGCGATGCCATCGCAAGCTGAGGTACTGGGAATGAAGGTGCCCTGCGGATGAGATGAATAGAGGTTAACAGAGCAAGGTTGTGCGACGTACACTTCATGCTCGTCATCCGAGTCGCCAATAACCGCTCTTCGCTTTTTCATTGCCACAGGCTTAGTGGGGATTTCGTTATCTGACGAGGAAGAAATGGACTGGCTAACGGTCATGATCTTTTGTACTGTATAAATCAGCATGTCTGCACTCACGATCACGCTCGGTGAAGATGGCTTCGTCATCGGCTCCGTAGGCTGACTGGCCGGGGCCAGGTTCAACTTGTCCATGAGTTTACGTCGCCTGTTGGATCGTCAGATTACGGCAGATGAGTACTTCAAGCGCGGCTGCGAACATGGCTTCCATCTTGGTGCTGATTCACCGACGTTGATGAGACACAATATTCGTGCAGACAGATGGGTTGACGCCTACAGTAGACGCAGATCGAATCAAGACAGCAGATGGACGCAGGAGAACAAGGAGGCGCATCCTACTGCCGCAGCGCGTGGTTGCTCAGAAGGCTGCACGTGTTGCGCTACGACACGCACGTGCATCTCACGTGCCTCATAATTGCTCCATTCGTGCTCCGGACGTTCGACGAATTGCACGCTACAGAATATTTATTGCATAATTTACGTCTAAATGTCCGCCACAAGGCCACCCCAAGCCGGTGACGAAGTCCGCGAAGAATCGGCACGAGAGACCGTGACGAGACGAGCAATCCACTCTCGTCATCTCTGCGTCGGTCGTCAAGTCCTCGCACGTTTCATAGGTCGGCCCGGGCCTTCGCTGAATTCCAACGTGTCCTCAGTTTGTTCGTAGTGGGCCGAGGCTGGAAGTGAACGAGCGCGCTTTCGCGCGGTCATCCTCCTGCATTCGGGGAAAGCGCGAATCTTCTGCTCTCGAATGGGCGATGTCGTAACACGGCAGGGATCGTCGGAAATGTCCCCATCGAGATGAAATCCGGCGTCGGGTGGCGCTTCTGGCTCTGCCACGATATCGTCGTCGCCAGCTTCGTGCGGGTGAGCCGTAGGCGGTGACGAGAGGCTGCGGTTCACAGGATCACCGTCGGCCGATTCTAAAACACCTGCAGTGCTCTGTGAACCGCCTGCGGCGGGGGAGCAGTCGGAGATAGGGCGGCGTTCCGTATTTGCAGCAGTTACAGCCAATGGCGCAAGCGTAGACGGCGTTGAGATCACAGAGCGAATGCATTGCTCCTTGCAACCATCTCTTTGAAGACATTCCTCCACGTCGAGACGCGCGACAGAGTCCCGGTCTAGAGCGTACGCCAGGAAGCCAAAGATACCGTGAGGATTTCCCTCCCTGAACGCTTCGGGAATGCCTAGCGTGCGAGGGCTAGAACCGCGCAAAGACGGCTTACCGAAAACGGGGACGTTCTTCTGCGCGATCTGTAGCGACGATTCGGAATCCGTCGCGGAGGATGCGGTCGGCGAGTCGACGAGAACGGTAGGCTGCTCAACGGGGGTGACCTGCGCCGCCCGACCACGGTTCGGGGCACGACGGACCGAAAGCATCCCTCGAAGCTGCCCGATGGTCTCGACCGACAAGAGAGGTAAATCCGGTCTCTGCACTCCCATCCTCTTCGCCACGTCGTGCACCGCCCTAGCCCTCCGCCGAACGACATCGACCTCCTTCTGTACCTTTTCCCGCGTCTCCTTATTCTCGCCTCCCGAAACCCGGCCAATCTCCACAAGGTGCAATCCCCGCAAACCGTCCAGCCCTAGGCATGCGTCCCGCGCATCCGCCCGTAGTTCCGGTATAGCGACCTCGAGGTCCAGCCTGAGGAAGAGGTTCAGGTTCGCTTGCTCAGCGTGGGTCGGCTTGGCCTGCTCCAGCACTTCCAGACCCTGCCACCTCAGCCCCGTATCGAGCTCCGCAAGGCTTACACGTGCGTCGTCCACCAATGCTTGTAGATTCTCCACGAGGTCGACGGGAAGGTACGATCTCCAGCCCTCTATCGCCTTCATCCTCAAGACTGCCGCGCAAAGCTCCTCCGCCTCCTGATACAACTGAGAGTCCAATACCGCCATGTCGTCATCGAGCGAAAGCGTCAACTCTAGCAAACCAGGGCACCATAGCGAGTGCTTAGGGTCGTCGGACCCACATCCACACAGTAGCTCATCGGCCCCGCAGAGTGTTGTAGAGGTCGACCAAGGCGAAGCCGTCCGGACATCGAAGGGAAGACATGGGGATGGGGACGGGGATGAAGAGCGGACGGATTCGTGGTTCGCAATTATAGGGGAATCGGATATGTTACATGGCGTGCTCGATGGCGAATCTAAACCACAGTATGAGCACTTATCTTCATATTCCGAACAGCGAAGTCGACTGCGTCCCTCACCTTCACCAAGAAGCGCGTCCCAATCTAATTCCTCGAACTCAAATTCGGAGTCAGAGTCGCCTGCGGGCGCTGGAGCTCGAAGCTCACTATCAATCGCGGCGCTTTAATGATCCGCGCTGCACAATATCTGAGAGCAGCGAACTTACACTTCCTCCTGAGTTTCTAATAGCAAGTGCACGTCTGCCGTCCGGGACAGGGGTACGAAGGTACCGAAGTCCGTTTTCATCGTCTTCTTTCTCGATGTTTTGTGCATGTAGACCGGACCGAGGCTCGATGATGTTCGTGGATGGGTATTGGAGGAACAGAATTCTGTGTTTCCTGTATAAATATTGTGCCCGGCATCGTTGAGCTTTGTGGCCTTGTTATTGTCATTGTGCCTGTCGTCGTCGTCGCCGTCGCCGTCGCGAGACAAAGCAAGTATCCCACGCCACACAAGGCCACGGTGTAATTCCGCTACTTAGCGCTAAGAACCGAAGGCGAAATTGCTCGCAGACATATGAGGATCATGTTGGAATATGAGAATTCAGTGCGCGTTCAGTGCTCACTATTATCTGATCGCTGTACACATATATCTACTCGCGCTCGCATCCGATGTACCTTACGCGCTTGCCCAGCAATCTTACCCCTCGCATTGCAGACGGGTCAAGCGCGCTCCGCGCCCGACATGCCGCCCGACATTTAACAGATCATGGATGCAACACTTGTCAATTGCAATACCAAACGTAGCTACTCGACAACTTCAGGACAATACACCGTCGTATACGAACGGGCCGCCCGACGTGCCAACGCTCTGTTCATGAAACTAGCGTGGGTCGTACTGATACCTACAAGGTGATGGGGACGCAGCCAATGGAGATCAAGCCACCCTGTGTGGCAGAATCAGTCTTGTTCATCACGACGAAGGTCAAACGGAACACTTACGAAGGAATTGTTCTCGCAGCATACGGGGTTGGCGCTGCAGCTGCTACCGCCCAGGCCGATGACGGAGATGGGGCTGCAAGTGACACCAATGAGGACGTCCACGGCGTCAAGAACAATGCCGAGGAGCCCGAGGAGCAGGCTCGCCGACGCGGAGGACGCCTAGAGAAAGATACGTGGTGAGCTAGCTATGCAGTCCCGAAGGAGGTATTGCTGACGCTCTCAACGGAGTTGCAGCACTGCAGGGAGCCGGTGTTGCACTGACTGACTGTAGTCGGGGTTGGAGCCGGGGTCTAGTAGGCAAAGAAGGACCTGTCAGCGCTGCCGTCCCAGGCGCCTCCAACATAAAACACGTACGACCGTGACGGTCACGGTAGGGGGAGCCCCACCGGGCGCGGCGGCTGCAAGGAGGAAGAGCGCGAAGAGCGCAACGAAGAAGGTCGGAAGACGAGCGAACATGCTGAAAGAATTACTGGGCGGGGATCGAGAGGCTGGTTGACGCTGCAGTGAACTCGAGTGGTTCGCTGAAGTTTGGACCGCTGAACGTCTTCTCCTTTTATACGCGTTTTTTCACCTCCCCAGACTTTTTGCACCCGTCAACAGCCAGCTAGCCCTGGCACTGGCTCCAGGTAGGGAAGGCCCGGAATGGCAGCAAGGAAAGGCCGGCAAAGTTTGCCGCCATCCCATAAGTCTGGATCTGGCTGCCAGCATAGGCCGTAAGCAAGCTGTACTGCGAGAAGCACGGCGGAGAACGAGGGTGCCCACCTGTCCCACGCGGCGTCGGTGCGCTGCCGGGCTGGCTGCTGCCCATGATCAACTTGATGCAGCGCGAAATGCTAATCCATGACGCGCTTGTCTCGTCGCAGCTCTCACTGTTGCTCCCGAGAAAGTGGAGCTCTCTTGTCTGTTCGGTAGGGTTGGAAGGATTGAAAGCGAGTCTGCTCAGGGTCATGCGATGGTGCGGCGGTCATACTGCGCCTCTTGGTTGAGTGCGCTGCGCAAAATCCTGAGTCAGAGACCATACTTTCGCACAATTAATCAGCATAAAAATACACGCTCACGATCGAGTCTCGTTTGATTTCCCTACACGATGGCAGCAAAGTTCCAAGGGTCGAGTGACTACCATTGGGTCTAACAGAATTCGATCCGATCGGCAAGATCCTGGACGGCAGCGTGGAGGCACCAGAAACAAGGGCCATATGCGAAACACATTAGATTGAACGCGGATGCAACCACGAGTCAATGCGGTGATAGGACGAGTTTTTGCGGTTCTGTGAATGGCATTCGACGATGGAGCAGTTAGCGAAAGGCCGAGCGCGTTGCCGTGGAAAAACAAGTACGAGGTCGGCTGCTCATATACTCCCACGCGAATAAAAGCTCTTCTCACAAACATGCTCCGACACTGCGATCGGGATAATCACCTTATTCTACTCTCCCAGACGCCGCACTGTACCCAAAAGGATCCTGGTATCTCAGGAGAACGTACGGAAACCGGCCCACTACCGCATGTAACGACGGTCATATTCCATTGGGAGCATCGGTGCTAGGTCATCTCTGACGCAGAGCCACCAAATTGAGAAGTTGTATGGCCCTCCGTTAACTTGTTCAGTGCGTCGGAATATCTACGATGAAGAGCTGGGCTAAGTGAGATTCAATCGCCGGAGCTGCTCCTGTGCGGGTTAATTTGGACCGCGCTTCTGCTCTCGGCGCTCTCTCCAGACCTCAGTTCATCAGTTCGGAAAACATGGGAAAACATGTGCAACCTCGACATGCCTTCTCCTGATCTACATCTTCATTTTTTGCCGCTGTCGACGGCATTGACTAATGTCGAATCAGCGTAGACCCAGCCGTTGCTCCCGCCCGCACGTCTCCGCCTGAAGATGCCGTCTGCAGTGTATCAGAACGAGGACCACTCAAATTTCTGCCCCAGATTTTTGTCATCGGAGCCAATCGGGTTGCAAAACGGTACCCAGGCCGTGTGTCCTAGACCCACGCAGGGCGCTGAGCCCGATGTAAGAACTTCGCAGATTTCCAAGGCTGGCCGTGAACGCTCTGGCTAGTGAGTCGTTCGCGACGTCTCGTTGTAAGCATTCATTTCATCTCACAGACGTGTGTCTGCATATAATCTAGACGAGTCTCGTTCATGAGAAGCGCTTCAATGCCCCTTAGGCTTGCATGCTGCTGGGATTCAAAATCCGCGCTTCATCGAACGTGCGGAGTCGGTGGCTTTATTTAATGCGCACGGACAAATTCCGCCCCGTGTTCACTGTCGATGCATTAGGCTGGATGAAGCACGCCGGAAGACAGCCCGACGGGTATGGAGCAAGAATACCATCACGCGATTACCATTTTCCTGTACTCACCCCGGCCCCTCGCTTCTATAGAGTGGATCCGTGTTTAGCGACGCAAAACCAGCAACAGAACCACCTTCGGTGAGTTTGAGCGACAAACCAACGATGTACCTGATACATCGGTTATGTACCAACGGCATCCTCCTTGATCAATCTCGACACCAATTGAAGGAGTGTGGATGGCGCACATTTTTTGCCTTGTCCTGTGCCTCGTTCATCACTTGACCACCACACGCAGCGTGATCGCGATCTGGGCTTCTTTCCAGCTCCAATGTTATATCTATGGGTGAATCAGACCAGAGCAATACAGTTCACAACTCAAAAGCCAAAGCTGCATGCCGGTCATGTTCTTCCAAAGCATCTTTGTGTCACTCCAACTGACTTGCAATCTTTTCCGAGAATATGCGGCAAATACTGCTATCCGTGATGGTCGAGCGCTGGCCAGACGGCGAACGGACAAACCGAACACAGGTTAGGTAACGATGTATTGTCATCGTCGGTGTGCACGATCCGTGATGGTAGCTGTTTCATGAACGGAAAGTTCAGGCGAAAATATCGAGTAGTCTTTTGGCTCGCGCAAATGGATCGTCTTGACAAATGCTCACCCCGAAACGTCTTCCCACTGCATCGTCGGAGTCCGGAGCTCGCGCCCGGAAGGCAGCACGCGAGCGACATCTTCCGGTGCTTCCAATAGGCAGCGGCAGACGTGGCATTGGATCGCCGTAAGAGTGTCGTGAGTGTTTGAGCAGGTCTTCTTCAACGAATGAGCAGTTCCACCATCATATGCACCTCATTGGCTGGCAGAAGGAATGACAATTAGGAACAGATTATTGATGTTCGTGCAATACCATACATAGACGTATGACACGTACATCGTGCCTATGGAAGACGCTGGAGGACGGTTTGATTATACCAAGGCATACGTGTGATACGTTGTCTCATTCCCGTGCTGGAAACTTGGCCGGATCCTTCGGTCCATTGACCGATTGTGCTGTGCCAAGATATGCCGTATTCAGAGATGGAGATGATGAGTATATGTGCGGCGACACGGTCGGACAAGGCTATCTTGCGGTCGACGTCGATTCTGTGGCGATGCACACGAAGTCGCGCTCGAAAAAGCCTCTTCGGTCGGGGGTTTTTAACGCACTGACGAGGAACCTGACTTCGACCAGGGAGCTGAAGATGGCTTGCCTATGATACTTTACATAGCACTGTATGTACACACGTACCTAGGGCTTTTTGGTGCCGGTGGTGAGACGGTGTGGTCGGCTTCATCAGCTCACGAAAACCATTGAGCTGCTTGGCACGCTCGCTGTCGACTGCACGAGTGACGTACGTGAAGCGCAGCAACCGGCAGCCAGGACCTCGTCGGGCCGTCGGCAATCTACCTACCTACCCACCTACCAGTCACGACCGCATGCAACGATATGATGCTTCGAGCTTGGGGATGACGCGGGCGGTGGCAGTGGCACGACACGCGTCGGGCGCCAATGAGTGGGATCCGGTAGTATAGCAAAAGAACTGTAGATACAGGCGATACGGCGTGCAATATATAGAGTTTCGAGACGTCTTAGGGGCCCTAGATAAATCATATTCGAGGGCCTCAGACGCCCTGGGTGGATGTGCACGCATGATTAGCCTAGACACGCCCAATAGGACGCGGCAGATCTTGCATTAATTGCTTGCCGCGGCCGGGCCGCGGCCCGGTACAATCGTAGTCTAATCGTATTACTCCGTTACAGCGGCGCTGCAGGCGTAAGGAGTCAGAAATTCTGATGGCGATCAACGCGAGTCAGTCGAGAGCGCTGCTGAAAGCTGCTACTCCTACGTATTGGTGGGCGGTGCGGCAAACCGGTTGTTCCGCTATGGGGATCGCGCCGCCTACCTACCTACCTACCTACCGTCTCGGCACCGCAGGCGTAAGGAGTCAAAATTTTTGATAGCGATCGACGCGAGTCAGTCGAGAGTGCTGTTAAAAGCTGCTACTCCCGTCTCGGCATCAAGTTAATTCTCTTCACGACCACTCAGGACGATGATCGCCTCTACCAAAAACCTGCACATACGCGAACTGCGCGAGTCCGACCTCGACCGTTTGGTCACCCTGCAGCACGACCCGACGATCATGCGCAGCGGGCCGGCCTACCCCGTTCCGAAAGGGCCTACATACCGCAAGCAGCTGGAGGCTCTGCCGGATCACACCCTGATCACGGTGATGGTGGAGGCAAAGGCGCCGCTCGAGGGGGGGTCGATCCCCGCCGACGCGAGTCAGAAGGAGCGAGGAGACGCGCTTTTCGTCGGCATGATGACGCTTTCCATTCGAATCCCCAAGAATCGGGATGCCCAGTTCGGGATCGCGCTGGTGGACAAATGGCGTGGGAAGGGGTATGGGACGGAGATGACGGAGTGGATCGTTGGCTACGCGTTCGAGCAACTTGCGGTCCATAGGATATCGCTAGGGGTCCTCGAATGGAACGCGGCTGCGATCAGCGTATACAAGAAAGTGTGAGTACACTCATGTATTGCTGCGGTGGTCGGTTTTCTGAGCTCGTCTGATATATCCAGAGGATTTGTCGAGGAAGGACGCAAGAGGAAGTGCAATTGGCAGGATGGAAAATGGCAAGACATGGTATTTATGGGAATACTAGAGGAAGAGTGGCTGGCGAGGGCGCAACAGACATGAGGCTTAGCATACCCCGTTTTCCTCTGGATAGACCGATCGGCGAAGACTACGAGGTTGTTGGGGTATGCAGTCTTCATATTGTTTATATATACTTCGCTTTGATGAAGTAGGGCCAATCATGATTGTCGTGGCATTGATCGAGTCTCGGTTCAAGGTCCAACGACGGACTTGTTGGCGCATCGCCGTCGTGGACTTGATATGCGAATCGTACTAAAACGGCTTTGCTCTTGGTAGCGATGAGCTGGTTCATAGCGGCCGGAGAATCCGTGGTGCGGCGACACATTCTATATTGTGTGTGCGCGTTGCTGGCTGGCAATGGAGCCTTGCCATTAGGATGCTGGGGTTACCCGCGGCAGTAGCGCGATCCGTGTGGCAACAAGATGAGCGCAATGAGAGGCTTCCGGAAACGAAGAGCGATGGAAGGTCAGCCTTCGAATGCGGAAGGTATCCTGTGCTCATTCAAACCAACGCTCAATGGGTCACTGGCATTCTGAGCAATACGAGACTCCGGTGGGTTGGCCATGTGATGGGTTTGTGGTGGTCTGTACAATCGGTTTCCTGCAACGACCGCAGGATGTATAGACCACGGTATGAACCTTGCATTGACTATCAGCAAGAGCGTGAAGCAGACTACATACACCTCTTACCGCAGGCGCGTCGTGCGTGGAGCCCCCTTGTGCACACTCTCGAACGTACGCAGCAGCCGCGTCGAGTTTCAAACGAGAAAGTTTGTCTGGAGCGACGATCACAATAATCAGTTTAACGGAAATGGGGGCGATATTGCCGAAGACGACACCGACACTCACCTAGATACGACTCGATAAACCGAGCAGCGCGGTTCTTACTGATTCCCAATTCGCTCCGAACGACAATCGCCAGAGAAGCGCACGTTTGGACATCTCCCTATAACAATATCAGCCCCCTCTTACAAGCAGAGACAGGTCTTGGAGAACTCACGTCGTTGGCCAAGTCGTCCAGCGAATCCCGCAGAGCCGCCCATCCCAGCTCACGCATCCTCCGTTCATCCTCCACGATCGCGCGCCTCCGATCGCCCGTCAACGCCTTCGACCGTTTGTGCTCGAGCGCCCCGTTCGACTCCGACATCGCGATCTCTGATCCATCCAACCTCAACTCGACCGAAACCGTATCTGACCCGAGTCGACTCTGCGAGCGCGATCTCCGCATCCGCGCCGAACCCCGGCTCGATGTATGGCGCATATCCCTGATCGTCTCCTCCCTGTCCAGGCCACCGAGCCCCTTGCGCGTCCTCCGCTCACGCAAGCGCGGTTCCGCGGCAATCACGGTTTGCACGCTGCTCGACGAGTCGTTTCTCGCGAGCGCCTTCGTCTGCATCGGCAGCTTCGATTGCGCGGGCAGACTGGCGAGAGTCGAGCTTCGGCTCCGGGCCTGAACCATCCTCCTCGTCCGGCTGCCCGACCCGGAACCCGACAAGGATCGGCCGCCCGATGCCGAGCCCGACTTGGACCGCAGACGGTCGTGGCGCATCCTCGGAGGCGAATCCGATCCAGCATCCTCCGATTCGGACTCGGTAGACGCGGGAGACGGCGAGGAATCATCGTCGTCCGGGTTGGCCACGTGCGACAACGGGCTGGGATTCGGCGGGACGGCGCGCGGATGCAAATGCGGCGAGGTCAGTGGCGACATGAGCGGCCTTAGATCGCTCTCCTCCCCTTCGCTCTGCTCCTCCTCCCCGTCCCCGCAGTCCCCCTCGCTACCCTCCCCATCCGAAAGAGCGCCCTCGCCAACGTGATGTAAGCTTCCCCTCGCGCTTTCGCTGGGGCTAGCGCTCCGCCCGCTCGGCGTCAAGCTTGGCCGGCGCGAGGCGGGATCGAATCCCCTCGGGAAATGTCGCGCGGCGGAATGGCTCTCGCGCCGGAGCAATAGCGGCGAGCGTGTCGACGTTACCGACGTAGGCGACGGCGAACTCAGCGCGCTCGCGCTCCGCATTGGGCTCGGGGAACCGACGGGCGTCAGCGGCTTCGGCACGGCGCCGCCGCGCGAGGACGACGCGGACATCGACTCGACGCTCTTCTTGCCCGGGCTCCGTTTCGCACGCCCGGCGGCGGCAACTAGGGTGGGATCCGTAGACACGGACCGCATCGGTGTGCCTCTGCCCGCCGTGGGGGGCGGCACGGAGGGGCGCGGTGACTGGAGGTGCGGGAACGCGGCAGGCGCGGACAGCGAGTGCGCCAGCGCCGGCGTGCCCCCGGGGAGGAGCTCAGGTTGCAGAGGAGTCGGCAAGGGAGGCGACGGCGGCGAAGGCGGCACGATGTCCATGAGAAGAGCCCCTACGAGAGCCCACAGCTGTGCGGCGGACTCGTGCCCAGCTTCAAGCGCTACCTGTGCATTGCGCTCGCACAACGGACGACGGTCTGCGCCCGCGTTGGCGACGTCGAGGCTGTACCCGCGAGCCAAGGCGGCAAACGTGGTAGACTCGTGTACGGCAGACGTGTCGGCGACGATGCCTAGGTCCTGCGTCTCGCAGCGGTAGGCAGGGTCGCCAAGGGCCTTCAGCTTCCCGCGCTGCCTCGCCACGACGGGCCGCAGTTCGGGATCGCTGTATAGGTAGGTCGGGACGTCAATTCCATAGAATATGGAGAAGGTAGTGAAAGCACTCACACATCATCGTACGGCACCTCCCACCGCTCGGGCTTGTCCGCTACGAATACGACGTTGCCCGCCGGATCGAACGCCATCGCGTTCCTTGGTACGGCGTCGACCACGGTCGCGGACTGGCGCACGTCCAGCTGCGAGAATGCGCCGGACGCGTGCGACGCCCATAGCGCGTGCGAATCCGCCCATACGGCATCTGCACCCAAGAGCAAGATGGCAACGATGAGCATGGTGCTGCTAAGCGCGCCAGACAAACACCTCGCGTACCGGCTACTCCGCCCTCGGCCGCGGACCCATTGACGCGCCACTTCGCGATCCACCCTCGTCGCACGTCCCAGATCTCCACCGCATCGCCCGTACCTCCACCGACGCTTGTCCCGCTGATGTCCTTCGTGGCGACGCCAGGCACTACACTTTCCGGGGGGCTCTCGACACCATCGCTCCCGCTTCCCGTCCCCGCCGTCGCGTGCGACACGATTGCGAGCTCGCATTCGTACTCGGGCCGCCACCTCACGGTGCGCACAGGGAACGACGGGTGAAGTGTGTAGGTCGGCGCGAGCGGTATATGTCCCGCCCTCAGATCCCACACCTGGTATCAAGCAAAGCATCAGCACCCACCAGCCCTGCGATACCGCAACGTCACACGTACCTGAACCGTCCGATCCATGCCGCCCGTCGCGATCCACCCATTACCACCGGCACCGTCTCCCGTGCCATCCGCAGCAGCTACCGCGGGCGCGCTGCCCGTCGCGGGCCTCTTGGAGCTGTTGCTCGAACCGGCAACGATTTGAGATGCGGGAACGCACCAATCGAGCGCGAGGATCGCACCTGCATGCGCGACCGGGACGCGGTCTAGCTGGCCGCGCTGGCCCATGCGGAGGTCCCATCTATGAAAGCGGAGGTGAGCGCTTGCGGCCACCGACGGAACAGGGGAGAAGGAGAGAAGGAGGAAGGATGGGTGAGCGCATGAGGCTCACCGGTACAGACTCCCGTTCTCAAGCCCGGCGATCGCCTGGAGCGGGTTCTGCACATCGGGCGAGAATAGGACGGCGCGGACCGGCGCGGGGTGGTGAATCTTCAGCCGGGATTGCGAGAGGTTTCTTAGATCCTGAGGGTCGTTCGAGAATTAGCTGTCCGGGTCGACCGGGTATCTGGGGTATGTGCTCACCCATACGCGCATGTCACAGTCCGCGGAGCCAGTCACGCAGTAGTAGTGCACCTGGCGCGAGTAGGAGAGGCGGTGGATGGCGCGCATGTGGTCGCGCGTCCTGCGTTCTAGCGCATGATGAGTAAAGACGCTGAGTATGGAACATGCATATAGGCGCACCATGCTTGGACGAGCCCGATTTGTTGATGTCCCACATGACGAGCTCGCCGTTCCGCGCGCTCGTCAATATCTTGTTGCTAAACGCTGTCACAAAAGGTCTCATGAGTTCTCTGATCTCCTTCCTCGTGCATATAGTCAGAGTGATGCTTACATCCATATCCCCATGCAACGTCCGTCACTGCGCTCGCGCCGCCATCCACCTTAAGCCCGGAGCCGTCCCACATGTTACGCCCCGCGTCGATGCGGTGTCCGCCCCGACCCACCGCCGAACGCGCGACATGCTCAAGCCCTCCCGATGCCGCTGACGAGTAGGATGTAGGGCCAGTTGGTGGCACGACGCGCACGATCCTCAGCGCTGCACGAGCAAACGTGTCAGCGTCACGATTATCGCATATCAGTATCGCCACGAAGAGTCGCATATAGTCACAGGACGCATACATGCGTCCACAAAGTCACGCATATATGCGCCACGCAAGATGGGGAAGGAGAGACAAGGCGATGAGAAAGACGCACATTCCCTTCCGGCTACGACACAACGCCCATCGTCGCCCTGTGCGCGCGCGATCGAGCCTCCGCCCACGCTCGACACGCGGGGAAGCCGTACGGTCCTGGTAGGGCCCTTGTATCCATGCTCACGCATGTCCGAGTACATTTCCACGATGTCGTCGACATCCTTCGTAGGGTTGTGACCACCGAAAGCTGCGTTAGTGGTGGTACTGGCGACCGCCGCGATCGTGTTGGCGCCAAGGCTGAGTCTACCCGAGAACGCAAGCGACGCGCGGCGGTTCGCAGGGCCGGCTGCGGCAGTCGCAGGGTCCGAAGACATCATATCATGGTGGTCAATCGTCGAGAGATAGTAAGTTTGTTGACCAGAACGATGAACTCAAGCGTCCGACAAGAGACTCGAGAGGCCGACGGCCAAGGGACGCGAGCACGTGCTCTCTACAAAAGGCGGTATTCCCACGCACACTTCCCGATATAGCATGCAGGCGCCCGAATTGGCAGATTTTCCATAACCAGCCGCCGACATCATGGAGCACACGAGCGTGAGCCGCAATGAGCTCAGAATACACCGTACAGCATCTTCTCCTTGTTCTCCTCGATCCGCTCGGGGCAATATTACCTGTATATTAGACCGACGTTCGCCACGACGACGGCGACATGTCTAGCTCGCGCGCAGGCTATGTCAAAGCGACACCGTCCACGCCTCATTTCCCGATATCGCTGGAGCCACTCGCCTCGTCGGCAGACGACGTAGGAGACGAGGACGACATCCAGTCGTGGACACCCCATAGCGGCACGAATCATCGCTCGAAGCTCGACTGGACGAATCTACTGGAACGATGGCGGACGTTCCACCCGCCTCGTCGGATATCGCATTGCATTGACGTAGTGCGGGAGTTCGTGGAGGATAATGCGGGATTGCTATTGGTTGCTCTTAGCCAGCTTTTCTTCGCACTTATGAACGTGATGGTGAAGAAGCTGAATGCGCTGGATCCGCCGGTGCCGCCATTAGAGGTACGTCCCAATGACCCAAGCTTCGTTGTTGGTATCATAGCTCATGTTGCTCATAGCTTGTTTCTGTTCGGATGGTGAGTTTCTTGCTCGTATGCTCTGAAGGATTCGTGTCTGACATAGGAATACGCAGGGTATTACATATGTTTGCTGCATCACCTACATGACGACTAGAGGCATCGAGCACCCTTTCATTGGACCCGGACCCTACACTGTACGAATACTGCTAATCCTACGAGGTCTATCGGGGTACGTTTTCTTCGGGATATCTCGCTTTAGGCCTATCTCAATGCTGACCATCCCCTTGCAGCTTTATCGGCCTGTTCGGTACCTACTTCTCGCTACAATACCTCTCCCTTGCCGACACCACCGTCCTCTCCTTCCTCTCACCCTTTACCACCGCGGTCGCTGCGCACTTCATTCTCAGCGAGAAGATGCGACTGAAAGAGGTTTGGGCAGCCCGTAAGTTCAGTCCTCGCCTCCCCAAACGCAGTTCGGGTCTTTTATACGTATTGAATCCTGCAGTGGTCAGTCTGTTCGGCGTGCTCCTCATTGCACGTCCGACCTTCCTCTTCCACTCCTCCTCCTCCACCAACGCGGCGCCGGAAGAACCAGCAACCCTCGACCCCGTCGCAGGTGTTGGTGATGAGCGAGGGACGCCCGCAGACCGCCTTCACGCCGTCGGGTACGCAACCCGCCCTTATTCACTCAGCCCCGTTCTGATGGTATCATCACAGATTCATGATGTTGGGAGTCGTGGGCACGACCGTGGCGTGTACGTTACCAAAAAGCAATTTCTCTCCCCGCTCTGCGACACTGACCTCCATCATCTCCTTCCAGTCCTATCCATTCGCGCGGTCGGCAAACGCGCACACGCTCTCCACTCGCTGACATCTTTCTCCCTCCAATCCGTCATCGCGTCCTCCATCGGGTTCGTCCCTCCCATTTATCCTCTGTTTTTGCTGTTTGATCTGACCAACGCATCTTCTTTCCAGGATGCTTGCTACCGGAACGCACGTCGTGGTCCCAACATCCCCCGCCTTCCTTCTCTTCCTCCTCCTCATTGGCGTCTCCGGCTTCGTCGCCCAGTTCCTCCTCACGCTCGGCGTGCAGCGCGAGAACGTCGGGCGCGCGAGTATGGGCACTTACGCCCAGGTACGCACTCTCTACGAGCCGACGGATCAGGCAGCTGACGTTACCTTCTGGTGCTCAGTTGATCTTCGCGTCGGCCTTCGACCGGATCTTCTTCCACGGCAAACCCTCCTTCCTCTCCGTGCTGGGCACGGTCATCATCATGGGCGCCGCCTTCTACGTTGCGGTGCGCAACGCTCCCTTTCCTCTTCCGCCGTCTCTGGCTGACCAACTTGGTCCACTTCACCCCACACAGGTCACGAAAGAGAAAGATCCGGCCAACAATACCTCGTCCACCGCCAGCGGACACCGAAGTCGGACGACCGCGCAATCCGCGGTTCCGACCGAGCTCGAGGAAGGGCTTTTGCACAACGCCGCTGCTTCCGACGGCGAAGACGATGAGGAGGACGGGAAAAGCGTTGATAACGCACCAGAACGGGACTCCATGATTAGAAAGGATCGCTCGCTAGAGATACAAGGTATCGTGAAGGGCGATAACGCGTAGTAAGCTATCAACGACCTTGATTTCACTGTGTGTGTGTATGTCCATCTACTTGGACAATGCTAGATCTATTTGTATCGCTGACAGTTTATCCTGCCTGTACGAACAAGATACGATCAGAGCACCCCGTCTTCAATCCAGTTGGATGGGTTTCATACGATTTCATTACATAGCATAGAGCATAGCATACATGAGTTTGGAATACATTCGGATACAACTATCGTGCTTCAAACCAGACGACAAGCGCAGCTACTCATCTAGTCTTGTGCTTCTTGTTCGACCTCATCGCAACTTGACCATCGGATTTCCTCTTCTTCCCGTCGTTCACGGCCGCCCTGTTCCCGGCCTGTACTTCCTGCGCTTTGACGCGTGCGGCGTGGTTGTCGCGAATGCGAGTCGAGCGTCTGACGGGCTTCTTCGGGGAGGAGGCACTTTCCGGAACACGAGCATGAGCTCGCGTACGCGAAGGCCGGGCAGGCTCTGGAGCCGGTGGAACGACGACTTCCGCAGGCCCGTCAGGGTCAACGTCCATCGGGACGTGCGCCGTGGTTTTCTCGAACGGCGGAGGCGCGGTGGGTGAACCCTCCTCGGCACGTTGCGCCCTGGTGGAGGTGGACGGCTCCGGTCCGGCGACTGGCGCGCCCACAGCATATTCCGTGTACGTAGCTGGATTTGCCTCGCTCTCCGCGACAAGTGGCACCAGCGTCGCAGTCGACGATTGTCGCCGTTGCGCTGAGTCCTGCGCGTCGATCGAACGGGAGTTGTTCGGGAGTCCAGGAAGCAAAGCAACGGGTCCAGCACCAGTGACGGGGCCTGCGCCGTTAACGACGGGCACCAGAGGTGCGGCCGAAGGTACGCGCTTGGAGAGCTGTCTCGAGTCTTGGTCGTTACTCGATGCGGCCCCGGCGACCGGCATCATGGTAGATGCCTGTTGAGCGTGTTCGGCGCTGTTGGGGGCTGGCAATTCCGTGTTTGATGGCTCGCGGGTAGAGAGGGGTTGCGTCGCGTCTTCGGTGTCACCCTGGGTAGGTTCTGGTCTGAGTGGGGGAAGCGCTTGAACGTTTTCAAGCGACTCTTGTGGAGCTCCCGGCACGTAACGTTCAGCAATTCTTCTCTTGGGAGGAATCCTCTCACGGATATCAGCAAGGGCTAATAGATTCTGAACCAACGGGTCGTCATAATATAGAGACGATATCCGGGACGTAGGCAGGGTGCATCCATCAGGAAAAACCGGATTTGCTAAAAACCTCCTAAAACGTACTAAAACGTGCTCATTTAGTAGCTTTAGAGGGTTTCGGTACTCAATAAGCGACTCTTTCGATAGTCCGATTTTTCCTGATGTCCTTGGAGCCACTTGAATCTTCGTGCCTTGGGCAAGTCCCAACGCTTGTCGGCATCTCCCAAGAGTAATCCGTTGAGCAAGTCTCGAGCTATAGATAGCGTTCGAGGTCAGCATCTCATCCCGTTTACTTGTGCCCAGAAGCGCTTACCGTCCTCGTGGAGCCATGGCGCTTCCAGGGCCTTCAGCTGAGAAAGCCTAGTGGACATCTGGGTGATCATGTCATCTGCGCCTTCTGCAACGAGGTACGGCCGCCTGCCGAATATGCTATACCATAGTTGAGTCAAGCGAGTAGTGGAGGCAGCCTATCGTGACTCACAGGAAGAACATGACGCCTCCTACGCAAAATGCATCACTCTTCTCAGTATATCGCCTTTCGGATACTTCGGGTGCAGCCCAGTTTGAGGTGCCTGCTCGTTTCTGGACCAAATTCCGTGACTTTGACAAGAACGGGGTTTTGGAATCGCACTTACTACAATCGCATCGCGGTCCTTGTTGATTGGGATGGATATACCAAGATCGCAGATTCTAATAGTGAGTACGCCTTGACTGTCTTTATGAAAAATGAGGATATTCTACACCATTCACAGGTCAATGCGGTGCGTAAGAGGTGAAGTGAGAAACACGAGCCTCGGGTTTGATGTCGCGATGAAGGAAACCTTGAGCGTGGATGTACTAAGAGTCATCTGTCAGATGATCATCAATCTATGCGTCGTGGAGGAGCTTACCAACAAGCCTTCCATCAGCTGCGCTACAACAGGTCGGGCAAGTTGATCCGCTAACATATGTCAGAAATGTTAGAAGACCATGTTTATGCGGAGAATGAGGAGCGAACTTACAAAGACTCCCATGATATTCAATGTAGCGCTCGGCTGTCTCGTAAGCGGCCAACGGTGTGATCAGTACTTCGGGGAAAAAAATGAGTATGTGGATAAAAGCGGTGTGGATTATAATTACACAGCGTTCTGGGTTGCTCGGGATCCCTGCACCAGTCGACCAAAGGGAGGACATTTGGATGTTGCAATTGTTCCCACAGGCTAACCTCAAAGCAAAATTTGCCGAATTCTGGCTGCTTCATCCTGATACTTTTGACTGCCACCGCACGCCCGGCAACAGTATGGGCGATAAACACCTCTGACCATGAAACTCAGTTTTCGGCCATCAATAACTAAATCCTTGACGTACCCCCTTCAGCACCGCTTCCAATGATCTTATCAGGGATGTAGCGCGAGGCATGCATAGGAGCACTCTCGACATCCTGCATGGAACGGAAGACGTAATCTATATCATCGACTCAGCGCGCATGTGATGAATATAAGGGGAGAGTAGTACGCACCAGTGCCATCGATATTTATACTTTCATCAGGCGAGAGTTTATATTCCCGTTCGAGGGCCGCTCGTTCGCCGTTGATCTGCGTTATATTGTGGGCGACAAAGACATAATATATCTCAAAGAGAGCGCTTACAATCACTGCGACAGCTTCACTTGCTCTAACAAGGGAAATTTCCTTTGCGTAGTCCCCTTTGGTTGCATTTTTTATCCGCTTGACCACTAAAATGATGTCCGACGAAACGTCTGCTGCAAGGAATCAATGTAGATCATGTCGATTCTTCGACACCACTCACCTGTTTTTCGTGCAGCGGCGTACAACAAACCACCTTCGTTGCGATAGATGCACCACTCAAGAGATTCAATATCGTCCCGAGTGTTCACACCTGATCGATTCTGAGGAACCGGGCCCGGTTCCTCGAAGATGACATGCGACCTGCTTTTGGTAGCAGACTGAAGGAACCCCCAGGCCCTGGAGGTTTGTCGCAGTCTGTGCTTGAAGGATGCGCGTCGAGCGAATACCGCGATGTCCGTGAACCCAGAGGATCGCTGCGCCATATCCGTGAATGGGAAGCAAGTTGAAGGAAGAAAAGAGTTCATGATCGATACACGCACAGCGCCTTATATGTTCCCGCTCCACAAATACAGTGGCCCGATGCCTGTGACTTCCGATGCCACCATCGTGTTTTCAGCAACTATCATTTGCCCTGGATGGAGCTGGAACTAGGGCCACCGACGGGACAAATGTTTCATCCGAAAGAAAAGAGCAATACGTCGTCGTTAGATTCCAAGTTTTACAAGGCCTAAAGAGGGTCGTTATCATTGAAATGAGCAGAGCACTGCGTGAAGCAAGCTTCGCGATTCTGGTGGCACGCCTAGGCATTATAACATCCACCAACAAGGGCTGCCGATAGGATATAGGGCATGAGTGAGACATGTGCCACGACCACATAAGTAGCGTGGCCTGATCGTATGTTTCATTCGCGGACAACGCCAGTCTATGAGAAGAGGTAAACGCAAAGGCATCCCCACGCGCAATGTACTCTAGACCATGCCGGTCCGGTCCGATTTGGATGAGGAACCGTGGCCATGCGGGCCAGCATCATTCGAACCACTACCGCCCAGCGATCTCGGAGTCAACATCACTATCCCACATTAGCCTTGTTTGAGAGCTATATAGAGATACGAACAATGTACAGTTCATCGGTGGTGGTGACGACATGCGAATGCTTGCTTAACCCCAGCATCTGATGGGTAGAGGGGTATCGATAGTTCCGTTGAGAATCTTGGGGTTAGCAGTGGCATCGCTAGGTCGTTCCTCCAAGTCATGGACCGGCACCCAGCGGTAGTGATCGAGTACAAGAAGTCGCCATCGTCTTCGTACCTCGTCCCACTCCGCCACCTCGTCGTCCGCGCTGTTCGCGAAGACGGGGTCACCGTCGTTGAATCGTTCCTCGGTGAAAGCTTTCACAATCCAAGGGGGAAACGTTCGCATGGCCCTCATGATGCAATCGAGACACCTTCCATAGCCGAGATGCCAACGTTCCAGCACATTATAGACTGTCTGCGGAATATGATGAAACTGGAGTTTGCATTGCTCGGCGAACACCCGAGGTCGCCGAGGATAGAGGGGCACCGGAAGGACCAGCACATCGCTTTCAACCTCTTCGAAGAAATGGAGGCCGAGGTGACCCATTACGGTGGCCTCCTTTACCGTCCGTTTCGGTGGGTATATCTCCGATTGGCATGCGCTCCGGTCGTGAAACGCATGTCCCTGCTCGTCTACGCCTATACGAGGCCTTGGCTGTAAGAATCTCTCTGCGTCGAGGCGATTCTTGTGGCCGAAGTCTCGGCGACAACGATGCCATAACGCGGTCTCCTGGGCGCAGTCCTCGCACAGCTCGCACATGTTGCTTAAGTCTTCGTTCGGAAGCGCCGAGGAGGTTGCGTCTCTGATCTTCGGGCGAATGTCGTTGAACGCATCTTTAATCGCTGCGATGAAAGCCTTGAAGTCTCGAGGTGGGGTTTTGGATGCGTGGTCTGGCGAGGGAGGTTTGCGCGCGGACGTTGTCGGGTCGTCCTTCTCGGCTGGGCTGCGTCAAGCAGCGTCAGCCAACGCAAAGGGTGCACTGAGATGACGATGACATACGATGCGACTCGGGTGGTGACGTGTCTATGGGACTCTTCCAGTGGTACTTCATGGTGGATGTCCAAAAGCTTTATGTTCGTCAACAGTTCCCTGGCGTTGCTGATAGCGCGTGCTAAAGCACCCTCCGTCTCAACCACCTGCCTCCTGACGTCCTTCGTCCCCGATCTCATCCTCTTGAACTCTGATGCAGCGCGTTCGAAGGCCCTACTTCGACCCTCCAACTTCGCCCATGATCCATCACCTGCACTTCGTGGTTCATCGTCGCGTCGACGTCGTTTTTGAGGGCGCTCTCCAATTTCGACTGAAGGTCGGCTTCGTTTCGGGTTGCGCGTGTAATGGGAAGCAAGACTGTTGAGGGCAGCGAACTTCTTTGATATTCTCGCAGGTGCAGGTTTCTGAGGAGTGGCTCTCGTTTTCGGGGCCGGAGGTGCATGCTGAGTGGCTGACCGTGTTTGAGATCGAAGGGTGGGAGCCATGTCGATTATGCAACTGATGAAGTAGTGAGCTCCAGCCGTCTGTAAGAGCCACTGGCAAATGGTTGCGCTCACGGCGAAATAGGGCACGGAAAGGTTCAACACTAACTGATACTTGATGGATGTGCCCTTTCGACCTCGATGATCGTTTGGTTCACGAGTGAGACACACTCTGCCTCTACAACGGGTAACAGCGACGCGCTGAATCCATGAAGATGATCCGAGAGGCCAGGCTACGACAAGAGAGGATGATCTGTGCCCTCATAGTTGGATTCCAACGTACGACCGCGCCATGGGGACGTACACTGGCGCAGACAAAAAGGATGGATTTGACGCGTACGGTTCCGTCCCCCTTATCACTCTCAGCTCTGTCATGGATTTCAGAAACAACGGATCCATAGTCCATGCACTCCGTCCGCTCATTTTACCAATCTTGATTCATATAGTGGTAAGTTGACCGTCATGTCACCCTCTTGCCTTGAGCACCCTCGTCCCAATCGCTCATCGTCGTCGAAGATATTGCCTCACATAGACCATGGATCATAAGGTACATACATTCTGCGATACATTAGAACAAATTGTGGTACATCATATCGGAAGACACAGAGATTGCTCAATCAGTCTTGCGTTTCTTGCTGATCTCCTCTACCCGCGTGCCCAGCTTCCTCTTCTCGCCGGTCACCTCCACCTTGACCCCGGACGCAGCCTGCGCGCCGTAAGATGCGGCGAACTTCTCACCAGCCGTACCGGCGCGCCTGTCGCGAATGCGAGACGAGCGCCTGACAGGTAGTTTCGGGATAGAGAAGGAGGCGCCTTTCTCTGCGCGAGCACGAGCCCGAGTACGTCGAGGGCGAGAAGCCTCCAAGACAACTGCAGTTGGCAAAGCGTCGGCGTCCGCAACTTCTGGTTCTTCGGCTGCATCACGAACGCCGTCAACGGTCACAGCGGCGTCCGGCGCGGAGATGGGTTCATGTTCCAAGACCGCGCTTGGCACTGGCTTGGCACCCGCAGCACGCTCGACGTGCTCCTGGCCGATAGGCAGCGCAGGAGTCGCGCGTAGAGTTGAGCATGGAGTTGCAGGTCCCGCTCTATTAATACCTGGGAGCGCGAGAGATGTTGGAGGGGTGGCCAAGTCGATATCATAAACTGTTTCGGTCTTCACGTGTACCGGCATCGTAGTTGACGAATGATGTGCGGAGAGCAGGCCAGTGGAACCTGGCGTGCGATTCGATCGAGGAAAACCTATAGCACCCACGGCGTCGGAAATGGGCGACCCGGGAGAGGCGAGGGGCTCCGTCGAGCCTCGGAGGTAGTTCGAAATCGGCGTGCGGAGCCGCCGCAGAACGCGAACCACAGGGACTCCAGGTGTGTATAGCCTCGGGATAGGTGGCGGATCCAAGGAGTGGCATTGAAGAATGGCGAAAAGGTTATGAGCTAGAGGGTGGCGAGAGAACAGAGGTTGGACGCGCGCTTGTGGAACTGCGCAACCTTGCAACCAAGAGGACTGCCGTGCTTGAATCAGGTTCATGCGCTCCGCAGGGTTTTCCTTGAGTAACCCGTGAAGTAAGCGTCGAGCTAACAAATTCGACGCCGATGAGGACACATCTTTAATCACAGGAGTGTTGACATACCGCTGCGGGTGAGCGGGTCGTCTTCGCGGTCGGCGTCCCCCCGAGTAGGGCGGTGGTGGTCCGTATCCTCATGATCCATTTCCTCGTCATCTTCATCTGGTCCTATGCGATCGAGTTGTGAAAGCCTGGTCCTGATCATCTCGGCCATATCGTTCGCTTGGTCGCTGACAAGAAACGGGCGTTCGGCAAACAGACTGGTTCATTTACGTCAGTCAAGATCTTATAGAATGTGATTGTTCAACCCACATGAAAAACATGACGCCTCCTACACAGAAAGCCTCGCTGATCTCATTATTCCGCGATATTGCCACCTCAGGCGCAGCCCAATTGGCAGTACCCGCACGGTCCTGGAATCCGAGAACGTGAGATATAACAGTATCAGATGAACGCCCACTAACCACATTGGCGTCGGGATTCTCGTTGATCGGGATGCACGTCCCAAAATCGGTTATCTTAACGGTGAGCACGCCCGATTCATCTATGTGGAAGACGAGGATATTCTACTGTCTCATGAGACCCAGACTCGAAACGGGGACGACAACAACACACTAACCTCAGGTTTGATGTCGCGATGGAGGAACCCTTGCGCATGCATGTACTGCAAAAAAGTCGTCAGCGAGCCTGGAAAAAAAGCGTCTATCGCGAGACTACCGTAAGACCATCAATAATTTGAGCTAGTACAGGTTTGGCAAGTTCCTCCGCTGGCAGGCCATCAGACTAACACAGCGCGAACTCCGCGGGGGCAGGAGACTCACCAAGTCCGCCGAAACGTTCAATGTAATGGTACAGAGACTGATGGGGAGCCAAGTGAGAGACAATATCTTTTATGAGAGATCGAGGTGGGAGTGAGATTCAGCACGGAGTGCGGCATGTAAGTGAACTCACATAGGAGCGCAGGCTTGTCGGGATCTCTATACCAATCGACCATGGAGTTCACATTACGATGATGAAGTCCCTCCCAAAGACGGATTTCATTGGCATATTTCTCGAAAGAACCATGGCGCATCTGCACCTTCTTGATGGCAACCATACATCCGGTCGTGGTACATCTGGCCATGGAGACGACTGAAACAAAGCAGACATTCAGGACGCGATTGAGGCGCGGCTAACGACTATTCATGACCAACCTCCTTCTGCCCCGCTCCCGATTTGCAGTTGCTTGACGTAGTTGTTTTTGTTCCTCGGATCATCCCCGAGATGTGTAAGCAGCCGATATACAAAATCTGTGCAGTTGAATGAGAGCGATTCTTCTAAGTTTAACGAGAAACGCATACCGTTGCCATCGATGTGGACACTGTCGTCCGGCGACAGCGTGTACAGACGTCCGAGCACCATTTCTTCGCCGTTGATCTGCCATTTGTTAGATCGAACTATATGGTGTGATTGTGGTCGCGCTCACACTCATGGTCGCGGTTTCGCTCCTTCTTGACATACAGATTGCCACTGTGCCTTCCCTTTCGCCCGGACCCTTCAGAATTACAGCTAGAGCAGTTGATGATCTATTCGCTGCATTCCGAAGAGATGAACTGCTATTCATCGGAGAAAGTGTGCCACTCACGAGTTGTCGGCGTGCTAGCTTGCAAAGTCCCGGATTTGTCACGCCAAATCAGCCAATCCTGAATGTCGGTAGGGCTAGTGTGGGACGAAGTGTTCAGCAGAACATGCGGCATGGCTTTCGCAGACGACTGGAAGAAGCCCCAGGCGGTTGACGTGTGCCGCAGTTCGTATCTGAGGGAAGCGCGTTGAGCGAATACTTTGAGGTTCGCTAGCCCCTGAAACGATGATCGTAATGTCCGCGTCATAATTTGAGGGGGTAAGGTTGAAAGGAGAGAAAAGGGGACGAACCTTTCGGAGACGACGGGTATATATGTACGGCGCTGCAAAGCAAATGGCCCACAAGACGTGTGGCTTCAGTAGCAGTCATTGTGATCGCGGCCACCAACCAACATCCGATCACGAGCTGACGTCTATGGAAGGCCACAGTCCGGTATTTAGGGGATGTTCCAAACCAGAGGGTCTGTGGTATGTGACCAAGGTTGGATGGTGCAATGCAAGTGCTGCAGCCTGCGCCTAGACGACTCCGTCTGACTTTAGTCCTTTCTGCATGCCAGTGGATCTACATGCCCTCATCCGGAGTCTCGGTCGCGCATCGGGTTGTCGAGTTATTGAAGATATGTGCATAATGTTATTGTAGGAAGTAGAGAACGCCCTACTTGAACCAGTGGTGGCGCCGCCGAGGAAACATATTGGATCCACGTGCCCAACTAGTGGCCCGAGCAACAACTACGCGGGCCGGCGAATTACTCCATAAGATCATTGGCCTCTTGCTATGTGTACGCGGAACGGAAGATCACACGATGTCGTATACTTATTCTAATAGACACCGCGGAGTGTACTCAAGTCTACACGAGTCCAAGCCCAGTCATCTTCAGGAACAGGGACATCAGTCGTTCCATTGAGGATCTCCGGATCAGCGGTGCTATCGTTCGTCCTCTCCTCCAAGTCATGAACCGGTATCCAGCGATAGTGGTCCAGCACGAGATGACGCCAGCGTCTTCTTGTCTCATCCCATTCCACCAACTCGTCGTCCAAGTTATTTGTAAAAACGGGGTTACCATCCATAGATTCGTCTGCCTCGTGTGTCTTCATGATCCAGGGGGGGAAGGTCCGCATCGCTCTGACAATGCAATCGCAGCATCGTCCGTAGGTGCGGTGCCAGCGTTCCAGTACATAATGGACTGTCTGTGGCACATCCGAGAATCGGACTTGATGCTGGTCGGCGAAGATTCTGGGTTGCCGCGGGCAAATGGGTGCTGGGTGAAGGCGAACGTCGGTTTCAGGGACGAGGTGATCGAATCGCATCCAGAGTTGGCTCATTACGACTCGTTCCCGCTGCAGCCGCTTGCGTGGCCGTGGTTCGGGTTGGCAAGCACTCCAGTCGTTGTAGGGATGGCCCTGCTCGTCCACGCCGATGCGGGGTCTGGGTTGCAATATTTTGTGCGTGTCGAAGCGCGCCTGCTGATCCGCGCTGCGTCGACAGTCGTGCAGAGCTGGGTGCTCCTCGCTCCAGTCTTCCGAGAGCGTGGTCACTGCCCGCACGTCTTCGCGCGAGAACGCCGTCGCAGCTTCCTCATTGACCCTGGAGCGAATACGTCGAAATGACTGGACAAAGGCCTTCAACTCCTCCGTTGTGACCTCTCGAGTGTCATCCAGCCCTTGGTCGTCCTCGAGAGGTATACTATCCTCCTTCTCGGTCGAACTGTGTCGAGCCGCGTGAAAAGATGCAGGTAAATTCAGATGAGGACCACGTACGGATCGATTTGGACGGCGGCATCCTTATGTCCAAGGGGCACCCCCGGAGGATCTCCGTGCCGAGCATCCCAGCGTTCAATGTCCACCGGCACATGCCGGACGAGGAGGATCATACGAGCCAGAGAATCCTCCGTTTCGGCGACGAGCCTCCTGACGCGATCTGCGTCCCCTCGCATCTTCCGCATTTCTAACAAGCGTCCATTTCTCCGCTTTTCTTGACGCCTAGTTCTCGACCTGGAGTCTGATCTAGGCGGTTCGTCATTCGCCCGACGTCGCTTTCGTACGCGCTCTTCGGTTGGTTCGAAAGGCCGACCTCGCTTAGGTCGTCGCGTAGGGAGAGGCTGCGGCCTGACGTCCGAGTGTGGTGGTTCATCGTTCGACCGACGTCGTTTTCTGGGTCGCTCGTCACTTGTTTCAGCAGCACGACCTCGCTTGGATCGTCGGGTAGAAGCAGACGTGATTTTAACTTGAGCAACGGCCTTCTTCTGGGTTTTCGAAGACGCTGGCTCTCTCTGGGTAGCTTTTGATCTGCGAGTTGTCGCAGTTTGCGTAGTTGGTGGGGAAGGTTGAACAGGTGATTTCCGAGTGCGGAAGTTGTACGTATGCGCCATGCTACCTGCATTCAACAGAGTTTATAGTACCGTGAGCCACGATCGCACCAATGGCCATGCGTGTCGCCGGCTTGAACTCACCCGCTTCCGAATGTTACAAGATCCAACTCCGGTTATTTTTCGACGTAACTGTCGAAGTGTACAAGCAATCGTTCTTCGGTAGGTACGGTAGCCGTTGCGAAAAGAGACGAAGTGCCGTTCGATGTGTTCACGAGTGAGACAGCCCCTGCGACTACAACACCGAGTCGATACGATATCCAGAATGCGTATCAAACAGTTATCATGCCATGCTAAGAAGCAAGTTGACAATATTCAGGCGATGCTTCCTCATATTGCCGGTTGGGTCTGAGCAGATCGAGTACAATGTCTCTCGGAAGCCACGTGGTCTAAAACACGCGTTGAACAAACCGGACATCCTGAGTTGAATCGTTGATTGCACCCCGAACGGGATGGAAAGAGTCAGAGCATCCGTCCCGCTCATCACCTGTCACGAAAAAAAGGCTCCGTAACTCATCCTTTGGTTCAGTTTACCAGATCTGATTCATACAGCGATGAATTCACCTTCATGTCACGATCACCAGGCCTCGTTCAAGCTCGTCGTCGTCGAAGATATTGCATAATACATATGGACCACATCATAAGGTACATACAGTCTGTGATACGGTGCTTAATCCGTCTTACGTTTCTTGCTGATCTTCTCAACCCTCGCGCCCAGCTTCCTCTTCTCGCCGGTCGCAACCTTCACCTTCCCCCCGGACGCGGCCTGCGCACCGCGAGGTGCGGCAGTTTTCCCCCCAACAATACCAGCGCACTGATCACGAATGCGAGCCGAGCGCCTGACAGGTGGTTTCGGGGAAGAGGAGGAGACGCCTTTCCCTGCGCGAGCACGTGTCCGAGTACCTGTAGGACGAGGGGCCGCGTGCAAGGTCACTGCGGCTGGCAAGATGTCGGCGCCCGCAAATCCCAGCTCTTCGGCTGCCCCCGGGACACGATCAACGTCCATAGCGGCGTCCAGCGTAGGGACCGGTACGTGCTCAAACACCGCTTTTGACACTGATACTGGGACAATCTCGACATGCTCGACGTCCTCTACGACGGGCGTGAAAAGCGGCTCCGTCGACTCGTGTTCACGAGCTAGGCGGCTCGGTCCGGCGTTTTGCGCTGAACCCAGGGCTGGAGCAGGGCTGCCTCCGGAAGGAATCTCATAGGCGGACGGGCCAGGCAACGGCGACAACGACCGACGATGGATTGAGCGGTGTCTTCGGACATCGTTAGGTGCGGCGGCAGTTGGTCCTGGAGTAGCAGGTGGAGTAGCAGACCTCATACTCTCCTGGATGCGTAACGTGACTGAGGACAGCGCATGGGTAGACAGGGATTCCGTAGAGCCTCGAGTATAGTTGTCAGCGGCTCCCGGCTGTATCTGTGGCGTAACTTCCTCCACCGGCGCCGGCTGTTGTCCAGGCTGGTATTGCTCGGGGATAGAAGCAGGGTCCAAGGCGCGGCAGTGGATGTAAGCGACGAGGTTGTGGGCAAGCGGATGGTTGGGAGCGAGAGGCGTGACGCGCCCTTTTGGGATTGTGCACCCTTGTAGCCAAGGGGATGCCTTTGCAGTCATTAAATCCCAACGCTCGTCAGGATCCTCCTTGAGCAGCCCACGAAGCAAGCGCCGAGCTGTAGAGTTGCGGAAAATCAACGTTAATGATATAATGTGAAGTACAACTTTTTGACTCACCGTCACCGCCGGGTCGTTTATTATCATCGTCCTCTTCGCTTATCTCATCGTCCTCGTCCTCATTTCCTATGATCGCAAGTTGCGACTGCCTGGTCGTGATCTGGGCGACTATGTCGGTCGCTCCTTCTTGAACGTGGAATGGCCGTCTTCTGTATAAGCTGGCAGACGCGTCAGCATGGAGTGGGAAATGCAGTACCATGGCCTACCAAAAGAACATAACACCTCCCACACAAAAGGCCTCGCTGATCTCGTTGTTACGCCCGAATGCCACTTCAGGTGCGGCCCAATTTCCGCTACCCGCGTGATCCTGGATGTCGGCGCATGAGCTTATGAAGAGTTCACATGAGATCGTCACCGACCACTATCGCATCCGGGTTCTTGTCAATCGGAATGCACGTTCCAAAATCGCTGATCTTGACGGTCAGGACGCCTGAATCATCTTTGTGGAAGACGAGGATGTTCTGGGCAGTAGCTTTGTGAGTCCGGTTATTAACGTGCGGGCAAGGAAAGTGTGAACGAACCTCGGCTTTGATGTCGCGGTGGAGAAACCCTTCCGAATGGATGTACTGCCGATAACTGTCAGACGAATGTGACCGCGATCAACGCACATAGGAGACTCGCCATTAAACCTTCAATAACTTGAGCTACGACGGGCTTGGCGTTTTTCTCGGCTGATATTCATCGAGAGGTTAGTGATTGAGCATATCGTGTTCATCAGGGAGGCTCACGAAGTCTTCCCCAACGTGCAACGTAATGGTACAAAGACTGGTGACCGGCCAAAAGGGATACAGTGCCTGAATTCACGTTCATGCTAGGAAGTGAGCATCCTGAAGGATGGTGCAATGGAGGTGGACTCACATAGAAGCGTGGGTTTCTCGGGATCTCGATACCAATCAACCATCTCATTCACGTTCGGATGATGAAGCCCTTCCCAAAGGCGAACCTCGTTGGCGTGTTTATTGAACGTTTTGAAATCCATCTGGACAGTCTTGATGGCGACCATACGTCCGGTTGTGATGCAGGTGGCGAGGTCGACAACTGATACAAGGAGACATTCAGGAGTCAGGCTGACCGTGCGATGAACCACTGTTTATGACCTACATCCTTCAGCTCCACGTCCTATAGAAAGTCCAATATCGTACCGTTCTCGGTGCGTTGGATAGTCTCCGACATTCACGAGATCACGATAAACATACTCTAGAGCGGGATAAGAGTGAAACTCCAGCAACAAGAGCGCAGAACACGCACCGTTTCCATCGATGCGTACAGTGTCGTCAGGGCACAATGTACGTAGTTTCCCGGCCTCAATCTCTTCGTTGTTAATCTGTGATGTCGGGCGGTCAGATCTGAGTAACGTATATAGGTTCACACTCACGCTGATATGAGCGGCCTTGCTCCTCGGGGATATGCAAACCACCTCTTTTTTGTGCGCTCCTTCTCCCGGGCCCTTGAGGATCAAGGCGACAGCAGTGGATGACGAGTCCGCTGCAAGCCGTATATAAGTCGCTGTTCACCCTGTACCATGCGCCACTCACGAATTTCTTGTGCACTAGCGTGCAGAGTTCCGGATATGTCACGCCAGATACGCCAAGCTTGAACATCGTCAGAGCTTTGGGCGCTAGACCTAGACGGAGCCTTGAAAACCAAATGCGGCACGGCCCTCGTAGCAGATTGCAGGAAGCCCCAAGCGGTGGAAGTATGTCGCAGTTCATACCTCAGGGACGCGCGTTGAGCGAATAGTTTGTAGTTCGCCAACCCCTGTGACGAAGGCCGTAGCGTTGGCGCCATAAATGCGGATGAGATAAAGTCCAAAAGGAAGGGAGGAGATATGCGGGAGCGACCAGAATATATACAGTGATACCAGATGGCCCAAGAGCGTTGTGGCTTAAACAGCAGCCATTGTGATCACGGCCACCACGTCCGGTTCCAGGTAATATAAACGGCAGGCCACAAAATGGCGATTGAAGAGCACAAAACAGGGTTTTACATGCTCCCGTCCCGTAGCCCAACGTTGCGACCGGCGACTGCTGAACTGGATGTTTCGGTGGTGCGCGATACAGAGGCGTGCCTAGATGAATGTATTTCAGACGGTGAGCCAATACTAAGATTAGCATTGTCGGGTGTGAGGGTCCAGTCAATGCCACTGTTGAAGATGATCGTCGACGATCCCGCGCTGACGCCCGCAGCACGTGTCGTCATCAACATTCAGTGCAACACTGGCTGCTGTACGATGTACAGCCCGGGGCTGCTGCCCGGCCGACCTTCGTCAGTACTTAAGGCTAAGCTCATGCACGATCCGGGAACATCACATGATTAGCGTGACATTCCGAAAAAGGCAATTTACGGCTGCTTGGTTTGACGTGTCGCCTCGTCGTCGTCCTCGTTGCTCACTGTGCACTCTCCGGGACTCCTGAGCGTTGTCTTTGATACTGCCACCTACGGATTTCCCAATATCAACACCGAACTAGCTGTGAAATGAGAATTCGGACAAAGTCAGAGTGGTCTCATCGGGGAAATGCAGCTGATGCCAATGCAGCTGCATCATCGGAGGTGAAGCAATTCACTGTTTTTGTAGGCTGGTAGTCTAATATAGTCGGATGTACGTTGGGCGGATTGAACGCAGCTCGTCGTCGCGGAGGGACAGTCGTTTTTACCAAATTAGGACTGTGACGGTAATGTGACGTAGCTCACGTGATGTTCCCGGATGCTTAGCCTTATGTAGTAGGTATATATTTCCGGCGCGGTCCCGATAGCGCACCGCACGCCAATATTGGCGCACACAGTGCATCGGAAGTTTGACAAGAAGGTGTTAGCACCGTAATCAGGGAGATGGAAGGTCGATTGCTGAAAAGAGAATTGATGATAGTACTGATACAACAAATAGCCATAGTGTGGACGGACACGCGATTACGCAACATTCATTGTGCGTTAAGGAGTGTCCGCACGTCGATACGAGTCCAAGCCCAGCGATCGTAAGGGACCGGTGTATCGACCGTTCCGTTGAGTATCTCGAGATTAGCAGCGCTGTCACTAGATCTCTCCTCCAAGTCCTGAACTGGTATCCAGCGATAGTGATCTAAGACGAGATGACGCCACCGCCTGCATGTCTCGTCCCATTCCACCAGCTCGTCGTCTAGGGTGTTGGCAAATACAGGATTACCATCCACAAGTTCATCTTCCTTGAAGACTTTAATGATCCAAGGGGGAAAGGTTCGCATCGCCCGGACGATGCACTCCGAACATCGTCCGTAGATCCGGTACCAGCGTTCAAGCGCGGAATGGATTGTCTGCGGGATATCGGAGAACTGAATTTCGTGCTGCCTAGCAAACACTCTGGGTCGCCGCGGGCATAGGGGCGCTGGGAGAAGACGAATGTCGGCGTCAATGGCGATGTTATCGAATCTCATCCCGAGCTGCTGCATCACAAGACGTTCCCTCTGCAGCCATGTGAAAGGCCAAGTCTCGGGCTGGCAAGCACTCCAGTCGTGATAGGGATAGCCTTGCTCGTCCGCGCCGATGCGAGGTCTAGGTCGCAAAACCTTGTCCGAGTCGTAGCGGGCCTGCTGGTCCACGCTGCGTCCACAATCGTGTAAAGATGGGTTAACCTCGCTCCACTTTTGACAGAGCGTGGTCACTGCGCGTAAGTCCTCGCGCGGATATGTCATTGTGGCTTCGCCACTGATCTCGGCGTAAATGTGCTGGAATGACTCGATAAAGGCCTTCAACTCCTCCCTCTTGACTTTTCGTGTTTCGTCTGGCCGTCGGCCGCCTACGAAGGGCATACTATGCTCCTTTTCAGCTGAACTGTGTCGAGCCGCGTGAGCGGTCGTAGGAGATGCAGCAAGAACAGGATAACATACGGATCGATTTGTACGGCAGCATCCTTATATCCAAGGAGCTCCTCCAGAGTTTCTCCGCGTCGAGCGTCTCGGCGTTCAATGTCCACAAGTACATCCCTGACGAGTGGGATCGTACGTAACAGAGCATCTTCCATTTCAGCGACGAGCCTCCTAACATGATCTGCGTCCCCTCGCATCTCCTGCAACCCTTGCCAGCGTTCGTGATCCCCCATCTTGCCCTGAAACCTAGTTCCTGGCCTGGTGTCTGATGTTGGTGGTTCGGCATTTGCCCGACGGCGTTTTCGTATGCTCTCTTCGCTTGGTCCGATAGGCCGACCTCGCTTAGACTGTCGCGTAGGGAGGGGCTGCGGCCAAACGTCTAAGCGTAGTAGTTCATCGTTCGACCGACCTCGTTTTCTGGGTCGCTCTTCGCTCGTTTCCGCAGCACGACCTCGCTTAGATCGTCGGGTAGAAGCAGGCGTGACCTTGACTTGAGCAACGGCCTTCTTCTGGTTTTTCGAAGACGCTGGCTCTCTCTGGGTAGCTTTCGATCTGCGAGTTGTCGCAGTTTGTATAGTTGGTGGGGAAGGTTGAACAGGTGATTTCCGAGTGCGGAAGTTGTACGTATGCGCCATGCTACCTGCATTCAACAGATTTTATAGTACCGTGAGCCACGATCGAACCAATGGCCATGCGAGTCACCGGCTTGAACTCACCCGCTTCCGAATGTTACAATATTCAACCCCGGTTGTTTTTCGACGTCGCTGTCGAAGTGTACAAGCAATCGTTCTTCGGTAGGTACGGTAGCCGTTGCGAAAAGAGACTAAGTGCCGTTCGGTGCGTTCACGAGTGAGACAGCCCCTGTGACTACAACGTCGACTTAGTATGATATCCTGAATGCGCATCAAGAGTTAGCATACCGTGCTATGAAGCAAGTTGACAATATTCAGGCGATGTTTCTTCATATTGCCGGTTGGGACCGAGCAGATCGAGTACAACGTCTCCCGGAAGCCACGTGGTCCACACCACGCGTTGAATAAACCGGAGCTCTAAGTTGATCGCAACCCGAACGCGATGGCAAGCCAAAGAGGTGAAAAGAGTAGATGAAGAAGCAAGATATCGACGTCCAGATCACAAGAGGACTTGCAAAGGGGCGTGTAAGGCGTCGACTGTCCCATCATTGGGACGCACACCGGTCAGAAACCACGTGGCTCTTACCAAAGTCTGCGTCCAACGATGCATTGACATAGTCGCCCATCGTATTCAATACATTTATGACATAGACCATAGATCATAGGGTACATATAAACTGCGTTACATTTGGGAGAATCGTGGCGCTTCATATCAGAGACGAAAGGGAAGACCGTTTATACCATCTTCTGTCTCTTGCTGGCCTTCTCCACTTGTGCGCCCAGCTTCCTCTTCTGTCCGGTCGTGGCCAACATCCCCTTCTTCCCGACCGCTGGCGCGACCTGCGCATCATGAGTCGCGGCAATTGCACCGACTGCAGTACCAGCGCGCTTGTCGTGGATGCGAGTCGATCGTCTGACAGGCACTGCCGGAGAGGATCCAGCGTTTTTCCTTGCGCGAGTACGAGCCCGCGTGCGTGGAGGAGGGGCCTTCAAGGTAGATGCAGCTGGCACGGTGTCGGTCATTGCAGCTCCTGGCTCTTCGGCTGGCTCAGGGACAAGGTCGACGTCCATAGCAGCGTTCTGCGGGGGAACGGGCACATGCTCCAGAATCGCGTTTAGCACTTGGGAAGCAGTCTCTGCGCGCTCCAGGTCCTCCGCTATGGGCTGCAACGGCTGCGGATAGAATGGACGATACGTCAACAGCGGATTCGTCGACTCCTGACCATGAGCTGCGCGACTTGGTCCGGCGACTTGCACTGAATTCGGGGCTAGAGCAGCGCTTTCTCCATAGGCGGAAGCGCCAGGCGACGGCGAGGACGACGACGATCGAAGATGGATTGAACGTTGTGTCCGGGCTTGACGGATGTAATGTGATGACGCTACGGCTACTGGCGCTGGAGCAGCAGCAAGGCTCGCTCTGTTCCTGCCAGGCGTCGCGAAGGGTGGTGAAGCGATGGACAAATCAATGTCAGAAACTGTCTCGATCTTCACGACGACCGGTGTCGGGGTTGACGAATTATGTGCGGAGAGTGGTCCCGAAGGACCTGGCGTACGCCTCGGACCGTCTTCCTGCACGGGATACGGACGAGGAAACCCTACAACACCCTGCCTAGCGGGTGACGCGACGACGGTTTTCCCCGGAGTGACGAGGGGTTCTGTACCGCCTCGAGTATAGTTGTCGGCGGGATGCAGCTGCATCCGTGACACGACTTCCTCCGCCGGTGCCGGCTCGTCTCCAGGTCGGTAGCGGCTGGGGATATAAGGAAGAGCCGCGGACGTGAACTCAGCGAGAGCGGCAAGGTTTTGGACCAGCGGGTCGCCGCAGGTCAGAGGCGGAACGCGCCCTTGTGGAACTACGCAATCTTGGAGCCAAGGAGACTCCCGAGCTCTCCTGAGATCCATGCGATCTTCGGGTTTCTCCTGCAACAATCCGCGGAGTAAAGCGCGAGCTGTAAGAGTGATTCAATCACAGGAATATTTCGAAGGATATAACCTCAGCTCACCATGTTTGCTGAGCGAGCCTTTCTTCACGTCATCGTTGCCTGTGGCTTGGGCCTCCTCGGTGGGTGCATTGCTGTTACCACTGCCACCGTTGGCGTCGTCCGCTCCGGCGTCATTCGCTCCGGTATTTTCCCCCTTAGCTCCGTTCTCTTCGGCGGCATTCGCTCCGCCGGCATTCACTCCGCGAGCACTTTCTTCGGCGGCATTCTCTTCCGTTGCATTCGGAGCGACCTCGTCAAGTTCCACAAGTTGCGATCGCCTGGTTGTGATTTGATCTACAACGTCTTTTGCTCCTTCTCGGACCAGGAACGGCCGTTTCTTGAACAATCTGAATCCCGAATCAGCCAAAGCGCTTTGAGTTGTAAAGATAGGACCCACATGAAGTACATCACGCCTCCGACACAGAATGCGTCGCTTAGCTCGTTGTTGCGCTTCATCGCCACTTCAGGCGCGGCGTAGTTCGTACTTCCCGCACGGTCCTGCATCGGAACATGAGCTCCAGCGAAAATCGAACGGAATGGGAGCCCCTCACCACCGGTGCGTTAGGATCCTCCTTTTTCCGGATACACGTCCCGAAATCGCCAATTTTGACGGTGAGAACGCCAGATTCGTCCTGGTGGAAAACCAGGATGTTCTGAAGGCAATGTTGTTAGACCAAGGACAATTGGACAGGCGATATCACAAGGTACGGACCTCAGGTTTGATGTCCCGGTGAAGGAAACCCTGTTCGTGTATGTACTACCGACAAATGTTCAGAGAAGACCTCGCATTGAAACCCTTGAAAGCCTACCATAAGGCCGTCTATAACTTGAGCGACGACGGGCTGCGCGAGATATTCGGCTGACATGGGGTAAACAGATCATAAGCTCGGGAAATCACGGACGTCGAGAGTGCGGCTTACGCAGCTTTCCATAACGCGCGACATAGTGTAATAAAGATTGTTCGGGTGCCACAGAGGTGATCATCGCTGAGATACACAATGAAAACGGGAATGGATATCGCCTGGAGCAAATTTTAAGTGAGTACTCACATAACTCCGTGGGCCTCTTTGGATTGGTGCACCAATCCAGCAGCTCTAGCACATTAGGGTGACAGAAACCTTCCCACAGGCGGATCTCATGGGCGAATTTGCCAAAAGTTTCGTATGTCATGTTCACAGTTTTGACAGCGACTGCGCGCTTGGTTGCGGTGCACGTAGCGAGCTGAACTTCTACAGACAATGACACAAGTTAGGCCTGAGAGTGGGTATAATAGTTATCCACGATTGACCTCCTTCCGCTCCGGACCCGATGAGCAGATCGAGATCGTAGCGTCCCAGGTGTGTGGGAGCTTCACTGACGTTCGCAAGGTAGCGATACGCATATTCTGATATAAGGAGTGAGCGGTTATCTCTGTGTGAATTTGACGGCAGTACCATTGTCTTCTATGAGTACGATGTCATTCGGTGACAGTACATATGGTTTCCCGGCTGCCATGTCCTTGCCGTTGATCTAAATATTTGTGAGTGGCTCGATCATTTCGATAGATGTGAGGTTATGCTCACGCTCATCTGTACGGCCTCGCTCATCCGTAACATGCATACCTCCTCTGCTTGCCCTCCTTGAGCTGGACCCTTGAGAATTAACGCTACAGCGTCGTATGATACGTCCGCTGTGAACGGTAATTTTAGGAACTGCGATTCTTGCGGCGAGCGTGACTCACCAGTCTTCTTCGTATTCGCATGCAGAGAGCCTGATTTGTCACGACAGACGTGCCACGTTTGTATGCCGATAGCGTTTTGGGTACGGGACTGCGTTGGCGCTTCGAAAATGACATGTGGTAACGCTGTCCTAGCAGACTGGAGAAATGCCCAGGCAGTGGAAGTCTGCCGCAGTTCATGTTTATAAGAAGCACGTCGGGCAAATACTGCGGGATTTGCCAATCCTTGAGATTGCGCCATATCCGCGGGCTGTAGAGGAGTCAAGCAAGAGCGGCAAAGGGCGATATTGCGTGAACGGCCATGATTCATATACCGATGCAACACAATGGGCCCAAGGAAGGCATGGCCCCCATAGTTGAGAGCCTGGCCACAAACACCTCTCGATCGCGCAGGTGACACATGCAAGGCCACGAAAACCAACATTCCGGAAGGGTGAAGAAAAAGGGGTCATTGCAGCGACACCGGGATATAATTTTCATTCGTATTCATAAAGTGACCTCTTGGTAGCTCAGCGATGTCGCATTGCTCTACCAGTGCACCGGACAATGCATCTGGTAAATCGGAAGGTCAGCTTTGTCTAATTCAGGGATGAGGAGTGGAATAGTACACGATATCCGAGAGCTGAATCCCCATATGTTCATGATCTTGTTGAATAAGTCTCGATAAACACTTCATGTGCCGCAACAGCGAAGTTCGGACTCGACGAGCATGACAAGGCGCTGGTCCGAGAGCAGCCGTGAGCGCAGCATTTGGCGAACACGTGACGACACAATCAAACGCACGCAACTTGCGTTGTCAATGTTAGCCTATTAGTATCCTGCGGCGTAGGGCCGAGTATTGATTCAAGTGCACATGGAAAACAAGTAGGCGCAGGCATGTCATTGCGCTATGCAAGTAACACATTCAGGCCCAAGACCAGTGGTTGTAGGGAACCTGGGTGGTGGCCGTCCCATTGACGACCTTGGGATCCGCGGCGCTATCGCTTGGCTTCGTCTCTAACTCCTGGACAGGTATCCAGGAATAATGATCCTGCACAAGAATTCTCCATCGCCTGCTCGTCTCATCCCACTCCGCGAGTTCGTCGTTCAGAAGGTTGATAAAGACGGGGTTCCCATCCACGAAACCATCCGTATCGTCCACCTCGATCATCCACGTGGGGAACGACCGGATTGCCCGAAGGATGCATTGCAAACATCGTCCATAGACACGGTGCCAGCGTTCAAGTATGCGATAGATCGGCCTTGTTATGTCGTGGAATTGGGGTCGGTACTGTTCGTCAAACGCTCGTGGTCGTCGGGGACGGAGCGGTGCTGGAAGGACAAGCGCGTCCGTGACAACGGTACGATTGAATAGAATGCCAACCTCGCCCATAACGATTCGTTCCTTCCCCATCCTCCGCGGTGGCCATGTTTCGTGCGGGCAAGCGCTCCAGTCATGGAAGGGAAGACCCTGTTGGTCCACGCCCACTCGAGGCCTGGGTTTTGGAAACGACTCTGCGGTGGTACGGTTGCGCTGCTTCGCGCTGCATCGGCAATCGTGCCAAGCCGGATTCTCCTCGCCCCAGTCGTCGCAGAGCGTGGATAAGGTGCGCAGGTCATCGCTCGAGAAGGCCTTCGCGGTATTGCCACTGATCTTGGACCGGACAGACTTGAAAGATGCGATGAGGGTCTTGAGTTCTCCCTCAGCGACCTTTCGTGCGTCATCGGGCTGCTGTTCGTCCATCGAGGACACGGTATCAACCTTCTCCGTCGAGCTGCATCAAGAGACGTGAGCAAAGAAAGTGCAATGGAATAACGTGACATACGACTCGATTTGTACGGATCTGGCCTCATGTGCACCACGCTGCACTGGAGATTCTTCGCACCGAGCGTCCAGATGCATAACGTCCGAAAGCAAACACCTGGCGCTAGTGCTGGCACGCGCTATAAGCTCCTCCGTCTGAACCACTATCCTCCAAACATCCGTCGCATCTCTTCGTAGGTGGTTTAGCTTCGCCGCGGATCGTTTGAAGCTACTCCTCTGTTCCGGTAATTTCGTCTGAGAACTGACGTCCAAATTTGCAGACTCGGCATTCGGCCGACGTCGTTTCCGAACGCGCCCTTCGCTGGGTTCCGCCGGTCGGTCTCGTTTCGCGTGTCGGGTAGGAGGGGGAGGAAGGTCGAATGTCTCTTTCGGCAATCTCGTATGCGAACCAGAGGCCAAGACTGATGGTTCGACATTCGGCCGGCATCGCTTTCGAGCGCGCTCTTCACTGGATTCTGCAGGTCGACTTCGTTTGCTTTGTCGCGTAGGCCGACGGGGGTGGCCTTGAGCAGTGACCTTCTTCTGAGGATTCGAAGGGGCAAGCTCTTTTTGGGCGGTTTTCGCTCTACGAGTTGTCGCGGTCTGTGTAGTTGGTTGAGGAGAGGAATGACGATGCGACTGCTGAGCGCGGAGGTTGTATGTATGTGTCATGTTCCCTGTGATCAACAGACTGATAATGTGAGCCACGGGCACGTCGACCGTTTGAGCCACGGAGTCCAGACTCACCGCGTCGGGATTCGATGATGCTTATTATCTCTGAGTTTAGGGCAACCTTCCTTAAGCTAGCTGCCGATGCTTGAGCTAAACGCGTCGGAGAGTGTATCCTTAGGGAGATCTTGGAGAGACCGGTGAGACGTTTTGGTGGGCCTTCCGCTCAGAGGTGAGACAGCTCCCGGGTCGGCACGATCACAGCGATACGCTGGACGTATAATTGATGGTCAAGGTACAGAAAACCAGAACGAGATGTTAAGATTCGGGCGATGTTCCCTCATACTGGCAGCCGGTAGAGCAGAAGTACAACGTCTCTCGGAAGCCACGTGGTCCATACAAACAAAACATATCCAACGGGCTTGAGTTGCTGAATTTGCTCGAACCTCGAACCTTAAGCTTCCACTTTCCATCCCCTTCATCACCGTGACATATATTTCACCACAGCGAAACCTATTCCATTCAATCTGACGAATCGCATTCTGAGTTACAAGCCATAGGACGATATGCGAACGTCCATGTTACAGATTAGCTTCGATCTCGCACATTGTCTCTGGGTTTGAACCATTTCATTACATAGACCATAGATCATAGGTACATGCAAACTGCGCTCCAACGGGGAAAGTAATGGTTTGTCATTTCAGGCGACAGGGGAAGACCGTTTATCCCGTCTTCTGTTTCTTGCTAGCCTTCTCCGCTCGTGCACACAGTTTTCTCTTCTCTCCGGTCGCCGCCAACGTCCCCTTCTTCCCGACCGCTGGCGCGACCTGCGCATCATGAGTCGCGGCGATCGCACCGCTGGTAGTACCAGCGCGCTTGTCGTGGATGCGAGTCGATCGTCTGACAGGCACTGCCGGGGAAGATCCAGCGTTTTTCCTTGCGCGAGTACGAGCCCGCGTGCGTGGAGGAGGGGCCTTCAAGGTAGATGCAGCTGGTACGGTGTCGGTCACCGCGGCTCCTGGCTCTTCGGCTGGCTCAGGGACAAGGTTGACGTCCATAGCAGCGTTCTGCGGGGGCACGGGCACATGCTCCAGGGCCGCGTTTAGCACTTGGGAAGCAGTCTCTGCGCGCTCCAGGTCCTCCGCTATGGGCTGCAACGGCTGGGGATAGAATGGCCGATACGTCAACAGCGGATTCGTCGACTCCTGACCATGAGCTGCGCGACTTGGTCCGGCGACTTGCGCTGAATTCGGGGCTAGAGCAGCGCTTTCTCCATAGGCGGAAGCGCCAGGCGACGGCGACGACGACGACGATCGAGTTTGAGTTGAACGTTGTGTCCGGGCTACGGCTACTGGCGCTGGAGCAGCAGCAAGGCTCGCTCTGTTACTGCCAGGCGTCGCGAAGGGTGGTGAAGCGGTGGACAAATCAATGTCAGAAACTGTCTCGATCTTCACGACGACCGGTGTCGGGGTTGACGAATTATGTGCGGAGAGTGGTCCCGAAGGACCTGGCGTACGCCTCGGACCGTCTTCCTGCACGGGATACGGACGAGGAAACCCTACAACACCCTGCCTAGCGGGTGACGCGACGACGGTTTGCTCTGGAGTGACGAGGGGTTCTGTACCGCCTCGAGTATAGTTGTCGGCGGGATTCAGCTGCATCCGTGACACTACTTCCTCTGCCGGTGCCGGCGCATCTCCAGGTCGGTAGCGATCGGGGATATGAGGAGGAGCCAAGGACGCGAACTTCGCGAGAGCGACAAGGTTATGGAACAGCGGATCGCCGGAGGTCAGAAGCGGAACGCGCCCTTGCGGAACTACGCAACCTTGCAGCCAAAGAGACTGCCGAGCTCGCCGGAGATCCATACGATCTTTAGGGTTCTCCTGCAACAATCCGCGGAGTAAAGCTCGAGCTGTGAAGGTGAAAGCGACTTCAATCACAGGAGTCCCCTGAAGGATACAAGGTCAGCTCACCATGTTTGCTGAGCGAGCCTTTTTTCACGTCATCGTTGCCTGTGCCTTGGGCATCCTCGGTGGGGGCATTGCTGTTGCCACTGTCACCGTTGGCGTCGTTCGCTCCGGCGTCATTCGCTTCAGAGTCTTTCTCCTTAGCATCGTTCTCCTCGGCGGCGTTCTCTTCGGTTTCATTCGGAGCAACCTCGTCAAGTTCCACAAGTTGCGATTGCCTGGTTGTGATTTCATCTACAACATTGTTCGCTCCTTCTCGGACAAGAAACGGCCGTTTCTTGAACAATCTTGATCACGAATCAGCCAAAGCGCTTTGAGATGTGAAGATAGGACCGACATGAAGTACATCACGCCTCCGACACAAAATGCGTCGCTTAGCTCGTTGTTGCGCCTCATCGCTACTTCAGGCGCGGCGTAATTCGTAGTTCCCGCACGATCCTGAGTTGGAACATGAGCTCCAGCGAAAAATTGGACGGAATGGGAGCTTCTCACTACTGGTGCGTTAGGATCCTCCTTTTTCCGGATACACGTTCCGAAATCGCCAATTTTGACGGTAAGGACGCCAAATTCGTCCTGGCGAAAGACCAGGATATTCTGAAGTTGTTTTTTATTAGTCCAAGGACGATTGGACAGATGATACCACAAGGCACAGACCTCAGGTTTGATATCCCGGTGAAGGAAACCCTGTTCGTGTATGTACTACCGAGAAAAGTTCAAGGATGTCCTCACGTTGAAATTTTGAAGCTCACCGTGAGACCGTCGATCACTTGAGCTACGACGGGCTGCGCGATATATTCAGCTAACAATGGTGAAGAAATCAAATTTTGGGAATTGCGGGAGTCAAGGGTGCCACTCACGTAGCTTTCCATGACGTAAGACATAATGCAGCAGAGATTGATGAGCTGCTAAAGAGGTGATCATTGCTTCATATCACAACGATAACGTGAATGAGTGTCACCATACAGTATAATTTGTGAGCGACTACTTACATAACTCCGTGGGTTTGTCTGGATTTGTGCACCAATCAAGCAATTCTAATACGTTTGGATGCAGAAAACCTGCCCAGATGCGGAGCTCGCGGGCAACCTTCTCAAAGTTATCGTAAGTCGTCTTCACAGTCTTGACGGCAACTGCACGCCCGGTCGCGGTGCACGTGGCTAGAATGACCTCTACCGACAATAGCTCTAGTCAGGCCTGATAGTGCGTGTGATATTTGTTTACGACTGACCTCCTTCCCCTCCCCGCCCGAGGAACGCGTTGCCATTGTAGCGTCCCCTGTGCGTGGGAGCATCGCCGACATTTACAAGGTAGCGATACGCGTATTCTGATTCAGGGTGAGAGTCTGTCCTTGAGTGAATATAACAAAGAGCACGTACCATTGCCTTCGATGCGTACCATGTCGTCCGGTGACAGTACATATGGTTTCCCGGCCGCCATGTCCTTGTCATTGATCTGGTAGTTGTGAGTGGGTCGATTATTACGATGCACGTTAGGTCATGCTCACGCTCATCTGGACGGACTCGCTCATCCGTAACATACAAACTTCGTCTCCGTGCCCTCCTTGAGCTGGGCCTTTGAGAACCAACGCTACTGCCATGCATGGTACATCTGCTGCGTACGATAGAAAATTCAGCAACTGCCGGTCTTACACAAAGCGTGACTCACATGTCTCCTTCGTACTCGCGTGTAGAGATCCGAATTTGTCACGCCAGACATGCCACGCCTGCAGACCGGTGGCGACTTGGGCACGGGACTGCGACGATTCTTCGAGAATGACATGCGGAAAAGCTGCCCTAGCAGACTGAAGGAAGGCCCAGGCGGTCGAAGTCTGCCGCAGTTCATGTTGATAGGAAGCACGTCGGGCAAATACGACGGGATTTGCCAATCCCTGCGATTGCGCCATCTGCGGATAGTAGGTGGTTCAAGCAGGTGTGATAGTGATAAAGGGCGATTCTTGATGAACAGCCCTTATTTATATGTCGATGCAACGCAAGTGCCACAAAGAGGACGGGGCCCCCACAGTGTTTGTTCTGAGCCCGGCCACCGGCACCGTGATCGCAAGGTGACACATGCGAGGCCACGAAAACCGTCGCTCCGGAAGGGTGCGAACAATAAATTAATTGAGGAGGCAAGTGATTATCCTGTTCAAACAGGCTGGTGACCGTCTAATCGCTCGGCCAGTTCGCATTACTTCACTGGTGCACCGGACAACACATCTGGCAATTCCGATGGTCAGCTCCTAGTGATTTCGAGATGAGGTATGGAGATAACATACGAGATCACATACGATATTTGAGAACTGGATCTCCATGTATTTTAGCATTCGTCTTGACTGAAAATCGGTGAGCGCTTGCTGGGCCACAACCGCGAACTTTCGACGAGCATGCCCATCCATCGGCAAGGCGCTGCGACTCCGAGTCCGCGAGCAGTAGCAATCACGTGACGGCACAGTCAAGCAGGAGTACTTATTAGCCGTTCAGCAGCAAGTTACGTTGTGCTCTTGACAGACAGATGAACTAAGGCTTATACTACAGCGTGAATCCCAGTGTTGCCTCAAGTGCATAAAGAGAGCAAGAGAGCGCAACTATGTTATTACCGAAGTAACACCCAAGTCCAGGGATCAAACGGAACCTCGGTGTTAGCCGTCCCGTTGACGATCTTGGGATCCGCGGCGCTATCGCTGGGCCTCGTCTCTAACTCCTGGACAGGTATCCAGCAATAATGATCCCGCACGAGAAGCCTCCATCGCCTTCTCGTCTCATCCCACTCTACGCGCTCATCGCCCAGAATGTTGACGAAAACGGGGTTGCCATCCACGTAACCATCCATATCGGTCTCCTCGACAATCCAGGTGGGGAACGTCCGTATCGCCCGAATGATACATTGCATACACCGTCCGTAATTACGGTGCCAGTCTTCGAGTTCGCTATAGATGGGCTTCTTGATGTCCTGGAGCTGGGGTCGGTACTGTTCCGCAAACACTCGTGGTCGTCGGGGACGAATAGGCACAGGAAGTACAAGCACGTCCGTCTCAACGGAGTGATTGAACATGATCCCAATTTCAATCATGAGAAGTCGTTCGTGCCCCAGCCTCAGTGGTGGCGATGCTTGGTTCTTGCAAGCGCTCCAGTCGTGGAAGGCAATGCCCTGCTGATCCACGCCTATTCGAGGTCTCGGTGTTGGAAACCACCCGTCGGAAGGGTTCCGCTGCCTCGCGCGGCATCGACAATCGTGCCAAGCCGGATTCTCCTCGCTCCATTTGTCGCAGAGCGTAGATAAGGTGCGCTTATCATCACTCGAGAAGGCCTTCGCGGTATTACCACTGATATCGGACCGGATGTACTTGAACCATTGAATGAAGGTCTTGAATTCTCCCTCAGTGACCTCTCGTGCGTCAGCCGGCGGGGGTTCGGCTATCGAGGACACGGTATCAAGCCTCTCCCTCAGGCTGCGTCGCGCATCATGAGCAAAGGAAGTGCAATAGAATAGCGTTACATACGGCTCGGGTTGTACAGATCTGTCCTCGGGCGCGCCATGCTCCACTGAAGATTCATCGCGAGAGTCCAGATGGATAACATCAGAGAGCAAACCCCTAGCGCTAGTGATGGCACGCGCTATGAGCTCTTCCGTCTGAGCTACTATCCTCCAAACATTCGTCGCATCTCTTCGTAGGCGGCTCAGCTTCACCGCGGAACGTTTGAGGTTTCTCCTCTCTTCTGGTAATTTCGTTTCAGAATCGACGTCCAATATGACAGACACAGCATCCGGCCGATGACGTTTTCGAGCGCCCTCTTCGCTGGGTTCGGGAGGTCGACATCGTTTTGTTTTTCGCGTAGGAGAAGGGAGGTCGACTTTCTCTTCTGTCAATCTCGTCTGCGAACCAGCGCCTAAGACTGCTGGTTCGGCACTCGGCCGACGTCGCTTTCGAGCGCGCTCTTCACTGGGTTCGGCGGGTCGCGTTCGTTTACTTTGTCGCGTCAGCTGAGGGGTGTTGGATTGAGCAGCGACCTTCTTCTGAGGATTCGAAGGTGCGGGCTCTTTTCGGGCGTCTTTCAGTCTACGAGTTGTCCCGGTCTGTATAGTTGGTTGCGGAGAGAAATGAGGAGGCGACTGCCGAGCACGGAGGTTATATGTATGGGTCATGTTGCCTGTGATCAACAGACTGTGAGCCACGGAGTCGACCATTTGTGCCACGGATCCAGAACTCACCGCGTTGGGATTCGTTTATGCTTATGAACGGTGGGTTTGGGACAGTCTTCCGCGAGGGAACTGCCAATGCTTGAGCTAAAGGCGTCGAAGGTTATGTCCTTAGGGAGATCTTGCAGACCGGTCAGACGTTTGATGGGCCTTCCGCTCAGGGGTGAGACAGTTTTCGGGTCTGCACTAGATCACAGCGCTGCGCTGTGCGTATATCTGATGTCCAGAGTACAGAGAACCAGAACAAGACGTATAGATTCAGGCGGTGTTGCCTCAAAGTCATATTCGCAGCTGGTAGAATTACAACGTCTCTCGGAAGCCACGTGGTCCGTAAGTGTTCAACGAACAAACGGTGATCATGATCAGTCCATCATCTGCTTCATGACGTTGCCACACCAGAAACCTATTCCATTCTCTCCGACAACTTTCCAAAGACCACAATTCGTAAGGAGATATAACGCCGTGCAGATTGCTTATGACAGCGAGCAAAGGTGCGTGTACGACCAAGAGGTAGCGCATGAGCTGCGCAGGTCTCAAGTTTCAACCTCGCACAAGCCGTCCATCGTTATGGCGATATTTCATTGCGTGAACAAAGCTTATAGATCATAAGTGACATAAGTTCTGCGACATATAGGAGACACTTGTAGCGCTTCATATCGGAAGACGCAGAAATTGCTCAGTCGGTCCTGCGTTTCTTGCTGCTCCTTTCAGATCGCGCACCCGCCTTCCTCTTCTCACCGGTCGCAACCTGCACCTTGACTCCGGATGCAGCCTGCGCTCCACGGGGTGTGGCATCTGTGCCGTCAACAGTACCGGCGGCCTTATTGCGGATGCGAGCCGAGCGCCTGACAGGTGGTTCCAGGGAGGAGGCAACGTTTTTCCTTGCGCGAGCACGAGCCCCAGTACGCGGAAGTAGAGGAGCCTTCAAGGTAGCTGCAGCTCGCACGGTGTCAGCACCCGTAGCTCCCGCCTCTTCGGCTGCCTCGAGGCCAAGATCGACGTCCATAACAGCGTCCTGCGGGGGTACGGGTACACGCTCCGAGGGCTCTGCTTCGGGCATAACGAGCGGCCTTTTCATGGAAGGCCCTGGACCATATGCTTCGCGACTAGGACCGGCGACTGGCATGTTACTTACGGATCCCGAGGACGCGGCCATAACGGTCCGCGGCGACGATGCTGGAAGTTGGATCGTGCGTTTTGTCCAGACTCGCTTGTAAACCGGTGCTGCTTCGGTCACGGGTGCGGGTACAGCAGGTGAACGAGCAGGCCTTGGTCTGTTACTGGCTGGCAAATCGATAGCTAGCGGCGGCGGCGGTGGGGTAAGGGATTTTGTACCGCATCGAACATACTTGTCGGCTGGCCCAGGCTGCATCTGAGACACAACTTCCTCCGCCGGTGCCGGCGCGTCTTCGGGTCTGTACCACTCGGGGATATAAGGGGGAGCCAAGGCGGGGCTTCGAACCAATGCGACGAGGTTGTGGACCAGAGGATCGCGAGGGGTGAGAGGCGGAACGCGGCCCTTCGGCGTTGTACATCCTTGCAGCCACGGAGAGTTCAGAGCCTTCCGCAAACCCCAGCGTTCAGAAGGATTTTCATTCAATAGTCCGCGAAGCAAGTCTCGAGCTATCAGGTTGATGCGACTTTAGCCACGGGTATATATACAAGACACGAGGTAGGCTCACCGTCGTCGCTGAGCTTGGGCTTCTTCCGATCCTTCTTGCCTGCATTGTTCGCGGTCCCTTTGTCCTTATTGTTATCATCACGGCGCTTGTCGCCAACTTGCTCCTCGGTGCTGTCTTCATGACCTGCGTTCGGAGCGGCCTCGCTAATTTCCACAAGTTGCGATCGCCTTGTCGTGATCAGTGCTGCCATATCCTTCTCTCCTTCTTTGAGGAGAAACGGTCGTTTCTTGAACAGTCTGACAAACGCATAAACCGAAAGCCCTCTGAAGCCATAGAATACGACCCACATGAAGTACATCACCCCGCCAACACAGAAGACATCGCTAATCTCGGTGTTCCGCTTGATCGCTACTTCGGGTGCAGCCCAAGTGGCGGTTCCCGCACGGTCCTAAATTCGAAATCAATTCCGGCGAAAATCCGATCAGATTGGACCCACTGACCACTACCGCGTTAGGATCCTCGTTTTTCGGGATACACGTCCCGAAGTCTCCAATTTTGACGGTGAGGACACCTGATTTGTCCTTGTGGAAGACGAGGATGTTCTGGAGACACTTCGATTAATCCAAGGACGGTTCAAAGAGGAACTCCCAAAGATACGAACCTCGGGTTTGATGTCACGGTGAAGAAACCCCTCCTCATGCATGTACTATCGACGAGAGGTTAGAAGAGAGACTACAAAGTGAACCTTTTGGAGCTAACCATGAGACCGTTGATAACTTGGGCTATGACGGGCTTGGCAAGTTGCTCGGCTGACGTCCGCACAATAAGCCATGAACTCGGTAAACGGACCTCGAGGATTAGACTCACGTAGCTTTCCGTTGCGTGCGATGTAATGGAGCAGAGATTGATGGGGTGCCAGATGAAGAACCATAACTATTTTAGAGAGCAAAAACATGAATCAGCAGCGTGCACAATGTCCTTTATGAACGCGTACTTACACAACACCGTGGGCCTTTCTGGGTCTGTGCACCAGTCGATCAACGAAGCGACATTTGGATGGGTAAATCTTTCCCATTGGCGTATTTCGTCGGCCACTTTCCTGAAGGTTCGGAAGTCCAGTTTTACGGTTTTGATAGCAACTGCGCGTTGCGTTGCGTTGCAGGTAGCAAGTTCGACGGCTAAGAACGGGGAGCTGATTCAGCACGCAGGACGGAACGTTCAATCGCAAATAGTCCGCGACTAACCTCCTTCTGCCCCTTCCCCGAGCAGTGCATCGACACTGTAGCGGCTACAGTGTGTGGGAGCTTCACCGAGGTCCATAATGTAGCGATATATGTACTCTGGGTAATCGGTTGAGAGCGTGATCCTAAAAGCATGGCGTAAATACGCACCATTGTTATCGATGCATACGATATCGTCCGGCGATAACGTGTATAATTTCCCGGGTACCACGTATTCGTCATTGATCTGTACGTGTATCAGTAGAATATCGGGACGCATAGAGAGTCACGCTCACAGTCAGAGATGTAGCCCCGCCCATTCGTAAGATGCCGACCACCTCTCTTTCCCCTCCTTCAGATCGGCCTTTGACAATCATCGCCAGCGCCCTGGATGACGTATCCGCTATGCGCGACGGACATGAGCGGCTGTTTTCCGAGAGAGGAACGCGACGCCACTCACTCATTTTCGGTGTACTGGCGAATAGGCACCCGGATCCATCACGCCAGATACGCCACTCCTGCACGGCGCTGGAGCTCTCGGCGTTGGTTTCGGGTGGTGCATCCGATCCCGATGGAGCCTTGAAGATTAGATGCGGAATTACCGCCTTAGCAGACTGGAAAAAACCCCAGGCGGTCGATGTCCGTCGCAGCTCGTATTTGAGGGATGCCCGCTTCGCGAATACTGCGGGGTTTGTCAACCCCTGGGATGGCGGTCTTGCCGGTTGCGCCATACCCGAGAACGGTGTGTGGTTGAAAGAATCGAGAGGCTAGGCGGAGTACCGAGAACGGCCATGATTTATAGGGAAACGCAACGCAAATGGCCCGCAGGGTGTGGCTCTAGCAGGATTAGCGACGGTTCCGGCCACCCAGATCCGATCGCAAGGTGAGACGGGTGGAGGCCACGAATGCTGCATTCGGGGGTGTGCGCAGCATGTTCCACACAGTGAGAGTTCGTCGTTGACCCAGCGCTTGCTACTCGATGGTTCCTCAACGGACCTGCATATGCCACCGATGCAAGGCAGGTCTGGCGACTGGAGTTGCTCAATCGGCTTCTTTGCAGTAGACTGGAATCTAGCAATTCATAGGTACGCCCGAGTCTAACGATATTACGGCGCGTTGCGATGGCGAGCGGAGCACGACGAGCGCGAGAGCAATTGCATTGTGCAAAGCCAATAGTGAGGTGTGACAGCGTGCCTCATAAGTACGTGAGTTATGAGAGTGACGTCACGGTAGACCATCACCCTCCTTAACCCATAATTTGACCGGGGACTAGTCAAGCACGCAGAGAAAATCACAACGCGGGGATGCCATCGATTATGTATGCGAATGAGAATATGAACCATTCAAGTCCAATACCAGTGATCGTACGGAACCTCGGTATTGATCGTTCCGTTGACAATTGCGGGATCCGCATTGCTATCGCTTAACCTCTCTTCTAACTCCTGGACTGGGATCCAGCGATAATGATCTAGCACGAGAAGGCGCCATCGTCTTCCCGTCTCGTCCCACTCCGCCAGCTCGTCGTCCAAGAGATTGACGAAGACAGGATTGCCGTCCACGAATTGATCTTTGTCGTTCACCTCCAGCATCCAGGTCGGAAATGTTTTGATCGCCCGAAGGACACATTCCGCGCATCGCCCGTAGATGCGGTGCCAGCGTTCCATCAGACGATATATAGGCTTCGGTATATCGTGGAACTGGAGTCGATACTGGTCGGCAAACACTCGGGGTCGCCGGGGACGGAGCGGAGCCGGGAGAACAAGCTCGTCCGTCTCTGCAGCTTGATTGAACGTGATGCCGACCAAGCTCATGATGATGCGTTCCTTCCCCAGCCTCCGCGGCGGCCACGACTGCCGTTGACAAGCGCTCCAGTCGTGGAAGGGATGGCCCTGCTCGTCCACGCCTACGCGAGGTCTAGGCTGCGAAGATGTTTCCGCGTCAACGAAGCCCTGCTGGCTCTTGGTGCGTCGGCAGTCGTGCCAAGCGGAATTCTCCTTGCCCCAATCTTCGCAGAACGTAGATAGAGTGCGCATGTTCTTACTCGAGAAGGCCATCTCGGGGTCGCCGCTGATCTCAGAGCGGAAGGTTTGGAACATTTCAAGGAAAGTTTCGAAATCTTCCTCGGCGACCTTGCGCGCGTCAGCCTTTCGCCGTTCGTCCTTCGAGGGCACGATATCGTCGTTCTCCACCGGACTGTGTTCGAGCGATGTGAGCAAAGAAGATGCAATGGGATAACGATAACGTGACATACGGCTCGCGTTGACCGGGTCTTCCTTCGTGTTCATCGCGTTCCACTGAAGGCTCTCCGCGCTGAGCGTCCAGATGCATAACATCCTTCAGCAAACACCTGGCGCTGGCACTGGCGCGCGCTATAACCTCCTCCGTCTGAGCCACTATCCTCCAAACAGATGACGTGTTTCTTCGTAGACGGTTCAGCTTCACCGCGGGACGCTTGAAGTTGTTCCTGTCTTCTGGTAAACTCGTCTGCGAACCAACATCCAAGAATATTGGATCAACATCAGCACGATGTCGTTTGCGAGAGCGCTCTTCGACGGGTTCGATAGGTCGACTTCGTTTGGTCTGTCGTGTAGGGGGAGGGAGATCTGTTCGAGCAACGGCCTTCTTCTGGGTATTCGAAGACGCGGGCCCTTCAGTCGCTCGATGCCGTTTCCGAGCGCGTTCTTCACTGGGTTCGGCGGGGCGACTTCGTTTGCTTTGTCGCGTAGGCTGACGGGGGTTGATTTGCGTAGCGACCTTCTTCTGATGATTCGAAGGTGCGAGCTCCTTTTGGGTGGCTTTCGATCTGCGAGTCCTCGCAGTCTCTGTAGTTGGCGGAGGAGGAGGTAAGTGAGAAGGCGATCGCCGAGCGCGGAGGTTGTATGTATGCGTCATGTCGCCTGTGATCAACAGACTGTTAATGTGAGCCACGAGCGTCGACCGTTTGAGCCATCAATTCAAGACTTACGGCGTGCAGATTAGATCAAGCCTGTAAGTTCCTTACAGTCTGGCTCACTTATCGATGCTTGACTACGGTGTTGGAGAAAATATCTTTCGGGAGGTCTTGCGGAGACTTGTGAGACGCTTGGTGGGCCGTTCGGGGGTGAGACAACTCCTGGGTCTGCAGCAGATCACAGCGACATGCTGGACGTATAAGGGATTTTCAAGGTACCGAGAACCAGAACAAGAGACAAAGATTCAGGCGATGTTTCCTCATACTTGCAGCTGGTAGAGAGCGAACCAAGTACAACGGCTCTCGGAAGCCACGTGGCCTGTACATGCATTAAACGGGCCTGAGGTATACTTCCCTCACGCAAATCGATGAATGGAAAGGTTTAGTATGCTGAAGCGTTTCCGATGTATACATAATACCATGAGATCAGCGTTATCAATTACAACATTGCGTCCATTCCGTCATGTCTTCGGGGATTCTCGACTCCAAGCAATGAGCGAGCCCTACTAGGAGAGGTCTCGTTATACAAGAACGATAGCGTGTCATTATTCCATGTCGTGACCATCCTTCGGTCTGGTCCGAGGAGGGGGTGGACCAAGAACCTCGATCGGCACCAATAACGGATCGGCTTGTGGTCTAACCAAGAAAACATAGACGGTGGTCAGCGAGACGCCCAAATCCAGAGGCCTCCTTGTTCAGGGACACCCACCCAAACGTCGCCCTCAACGTCTCGTTCAGCACGGCCTCCTTCTCTAACCGCGCAGCCTGCTCCTCCTTCCTCACCACGCGCAGCTCCTCTACCGCCTCCCCGTGCACCTCCAGCGCGTACCTGTACTTCGCCTTCATAAGCAGGTACCGCACCATCTGCACGCTCCGCCCGTGTATGAGTCCGGTCTGCGAATCGTAAGCGGCCATCAAGTGTCGCGGGATGCCCTCGATCTCGAACTCCCCATCTCCGTTCGTCGCCGCGTCTCCGTTCCCGTTGACGGATTCCTCTTCCGACGAAGGAGATGGGGACCGCGCATCGGGGTAGTTGAAGTAATCCACACCGGCGAGCTGCCCGTTCGCGAGCAGCAGGCCGTCGAGCGGGCTGACGTCTTCGTCGTATATGCTCGGCACCTCCGCCGCACCTGCACCACTTCCCCCGACGGTGCCGGATCCTGAATTCGACTGATCGACCTTGAACGTGTTGTAGCCCGAGCTCGCGTCCGCGTTCGAGGTGGACGCTGGCGGATGCTCTGCGTCGTCGTTTCGTTTCCGTTTACGGTTCCCACCGCGGCCGGGTAGGGGAGGCGAGATATTGTGTTGTAGTCGCATGTGCTTTGCAAGAGCATCCGAACGCGTGAACGATTTGTCACATTCTGATGAATCGATATTGAATTAAACTGGTTCAAGGGTAGTCGTTGGGTGAGAGGGACACGTACCTGGTCGCGGACAGGTAAATGGCTTCTCTCCTGTATGGGATCGTATATGCGATATCAAGGCGAATCGCGACGTCTGCGCCATGCCCCTTCTATTACATGTTGCCCACTCGCACGTGTAGTTGCTCTTGTGCACCCCAATGTGTTCTGAGATACGAACGAACGTGAGTTCTGTGACGCAGCCTGCAAGTACAAGTCAGGTTAGAATACCGTTATGAATATGCTCAATGAGCGTCGGAAGATGGCTGAAAACGCTCCCGCAGTTCTCCCAAAGGCAGGTGACAGTGTCAAGCTCCATCACGTCCTGTCCTAGTACCGTACCACCTCCTTCTCCGGCCTGCGCCGCCGATCCTGCGACACTTGGCCCTGCATTATGCGTAGAGGCAGACGGAGAGCCTGGTCGTGATATCGACTCGGTGACAGAAGCATGGTCGAAGTTGTCATCGGACGAGGAGGACACGGAGTGATTAGAGAGCGACCCGAGTGACGGTGAAGGTGAAAGTGTTCGTTGGCGTAAGCTGCGAGCCATTTATATAACCCCGGGCGGTTTGGCTGTTCTGTAGGGTTGGGTACACGGCTGAGGTTGCACACAGAAGCGACGGTGGCTAAAGTAGTTAAGCGCCAAGGGTTGTGCGGCGTCTAACTCAAATAGCTTACCTCCAACATTTGTGAGCGTGCACTTTCCTTCCACCATCACATCCTCGTATGACCTCAGGATATCCCGCGTCGGCCAGCAAGCCGACGGGAGTCGCAAACTTTGCGAATCGTACTGCTCCTTGGAACGCCGCGAAGCTCCCCCCTCTGTTAAGGAGCACACGCGGCGGCGCCCATTTGCTTGATCCCATTCATTCCTCCGAATGACGGCCTACTGCCATGGATATACCAGCTCGTTGAGATGGCCGTTTGTATGGTCGCTCTTTGCCCCCGGCATCTGCTCAACCCGATCCTATCATCGGCATCCCCTGCTCTCCGAAACCGGCTCATGAGGTGTGTCCGACCGTCGTGTGCGAGGAAATGTCTACATTTCCGGTTCAAGGCTGATTTTTGCCGAAATATATTGTGCGGTTCAAGGCACAGATGCGCTTCATGTGGGTGGCGACTGACTCTCTGCCCTTCTTTGCCTGAGAGCTGCCTCAAAGCGCGCCGTCGCTGTGGATGACGGTTCCCTGGACGGCACCGTTCGCGGCGGCGATCATTCTCAAAGGCGGGCCTGCCGCACGGCATGCTCAGACCACGCGCCGCGTACGCGCTGCAACGCGCTCTACTCGGTCTCGGGCCCGCATCCATGAGAATCGTCAATCCACCCAGTCTCACACCGGCGAATGGCTGCTCGCGCAATGGACCATACCGATGGTGCTCTGTCGATCTTATTCTAGAAAGTCGTGGTGCAAAATTTCAACCTAGGATGAAAGCCTACTCGGTCTCGGGCCCGCATCCATGAGAATCGTCAATCCACCCAGTCTCACACCGGCGAATGGCTGCTCGCGCAATGGACCATACCGATGGTGCTCTGTCGATCTTATTCTAGAAAGTCGTGGTGCAAAATTTCAACCTAGGACGAAAGCCTACTCGGTCTCGGGCCTGCATCCATGAGAATCGTCAATCCACCCAGTCTCACACCGGCGAATGGCTGCTCGCGCAATGGACCATACCGATGGTGCTCTGTCGATCTTATTCTGGAAAGTCGTGGTGCAAAATTGCAACCTAGGATGAAAGCCTGGGTGCTGCAGCGACTGTGACTGATCCGAACCGTTCTGGCGAGCCTGTTTCGGACAGACGTGGCATCACCCCTTGTTTGGGAGTACACTGGTCAATAACTTACACATCCGTGCTCGCTCTCACAGCCTCGCGTACATCTCCAACCAAGGGTGCACAAGGAGCAGTGGTCTGGTGCTTCCTTCGGCGCCCGCGACCGATCGTCGAGATTCAACTGGGAGATGCCATGTTCCCTCGGAAATTCCAAAACTATAACAAATTGGTCCTGAGTCGGTGCCTGGACCTTAGGTATTTAGTGGTTACTCCTGGGAAGCCGCAAGAAGGTCCAAGATGTTGCCGTCATCCAAGTGACGATGGCCCACACGCTTCCCCGTCCCGCCGGCCTTGGTGTGCAGGCTTTGGAATGCTCATCGGCCATACAAGAATATCGCGAACGCTATCCGACCATGGTAGTCGTGTTGCCGCGCGACTCATGGCGTCTTCTACACTGCGCCAGCTCATGCAATGTGCCCAGTAGGCCTTGGGCAATACCAAGAACGCCGCTTCCTCGGCCAGCTATCCGGATCTCACGCCCTTCCCGAGCTTCTCGGGATGAAATATAAGGTTGGCTGAACGCTGTGCAGCGGCGCAAGAAGCGTGCGAGCCCGCCGCTCATCGCCACCTGCCTCCCCTCCTGGCCAATCAAGTGTTGTCACTGGATCATCCTGCCCGGCCCAGCACGTCGGGAGTTTTTACCCGCGCCTGGCGTACGGGACGTTCACGAAACTACATTCATGGGCGGCCGACCCTCCATCCACCACCTAACGCGTGCTACGCCATGGGATCCTCTCTCACATCTTCGGCATACCGTGGTCGCAAAGCACGTCGCATCGTCCGGCTCGGCGCGATGATCAACCTTGTCACAGTGGCGCAATATTCAGGGGTGAATAATGCAAACGCCTATAAAAACGGCCAGACAAGAGCCAGTACTGCAGCGAACTCGTCTCTTCGCTAAATAACCCTTTCCACATATCGGCCGGTCATGCAGTATCCGCGCTTGCTCGCTTTCGCTATACTCGCCGTCAACAATGTTGGCGGCGTACTCAGCGCCGCCGTCGCTGAGCGAGCTGTCCATGCTCGCGCTGCCAGCGGGAGGACGACACCCCTGCTCAAGGGTAGGCATTCGACCATGTCACCATGCTCCACTGACCAATCTCTCGCATTCAGATTTTAAGGGACAGCCTCCGTTGCCGACTCTTGCGTCGGTTGAGGCTGCAAACGGAACCTTGGATCTCACAAATATCCAGGGCGATATCCTGTACGTGCTTCCACAGCATACAACACCAGTACACTGACCGTACTTCTTCCAGGGTCGGCATGAAGAAGCCCGTTGAAAGTTTTTTCTTCTTCCACATCAACGATCCTGCTCAGTTCAAGACCGATATGAAGAACCAGCTTTCGGTCATTGCCTCGGTGGCCACCTTGATCTCTCCCCCCGCTCAGCAGCCTGCCGCATATGTCAATGTTGCGTTTTCTCAGAGCGGCCTGACCACGCTCGGGATCACAGATGACCTCGGTGACGCCGCCTTCACCACCGGTCAATTCGCGGACGCTGAGAACTTGAATGACGACATCACGCAATGGCAGTCCGAGTTTAAGGGTACCAACATTCACGGCGTCTTCCTCGTCTGCAGCGACGTCGGTACGAACATCGAGAGCGTATTCAACAGCTCGATTCAGGTCTTGATGAATTCCACCTCCATCGTGTTCCAACTCGATGGCGCTGCTCGCCCCGGTGATCAGGCTGGCCACGAGCGTGAGTATTTTGCTGCTCGGACCATGGAATGCCCAGCTGACGTCCGCGATCCAGACTTCGGGTACTTGGACGGCATCTCCAACCCGGGTATCACAGACTTCACCACGAATCCCTTCCCGGGCCAATCCGTCGTTCAAAACGGCATCCTTCTCCTCGGAGAGGACGGCGACACGATCACGCGCCCGGCATGGGCCGTCGACGGCTCCTTCCTCGCCTTCCGCAAGCTCAGACAGTTCGTGCCCGAGTACAACAAGTTCCTCCTCGACAACGCCGTTCAGAGCCCCGCCGGCAATCTCACCCAGCAGCAGGGCGCCGATCTCCTCGGTGCCCGCCTGATCGGACGCTGGCCCAGCGGCGCCCCCGTCGACCTTACCCCGATGGCCGACGACCCCGAGCTCGGCGCGGACGCCACCCGCAACAACAACTTCGACTACACCCACCCCGACTCGAACATCACGAGCGACCAGTCGCACTGCCCGTTCACCGCGCACCTCCGCAAGGTGCGCCCGCGCGCCGACCTGAATGACACGAACGTCATCAACCAGGCGATCCGCGCCGGCCTGCCTTATGGCCCCGAAGTGACGGCCGAGGAGGCCGCTTCGAATACGTCGTCGATCGACCGCGGCCTCGCCTTCGGTGAGCACTCACAATTTCTCCCGCAAGCGCAGGTTTTCCGCGATGCTCACCGGCGCCTTTCCCCACAGTCATGTACCAATCGAACATTGAGAACGGTTTCCGCTTCCAGCAGACGAAGTGGTCCAGCAACGCCAACTTCATTTTCGGCAAGAACATCACTTCCGTGGGTCTCGATCTCGTCATCGGCCAGGCCGGCCCCGGCCTCACGCGCAACAACACCGGCTTGGACCCGACCAACTTCAACAAGGTCATCGTCCAGACCCCGACCGTCGTTTCCAACGGCGGCGAGTACTTCTTCTCCCCTTCAATCTCGGCGCTACAAAACACCATCTTGGCTTAGCCGGTGTTGTTGTGGTTCAGCGAGTCCGTGCCTTGCATTTGCCGCTTCGGCAATACTTGCATTCGTTGGCTTTTCTTCCGTATATATATATATATAAAGGTTCATCAGTGGATAGGATATGTACAGTAACACACAGTGTTACCCTTGGATCATTACCGTGCACAGTTCATATGGCACATCGGCATTTCGAGCAAGCACGATCACTTTTGGCTTGACCCTCGACACGCTGCGCGAATGCTTACGAGCACGTCATGCACGATCCCGAATCTAGACGATGCATTGTGCGAAGTGAAGGAGTGATATTGCAGAAAAGCAGGAAAACAATCAGCGACCAAAGCGCCGACAAACGTATGCTACATCGGATGCAGAAGGCGAATGTGCACTACATAGCGCCTTTATAACCACACAGTAAAAACTGAAGAAAACAATCTTGACGAATTGCTGACCACCGTGAACGTCTACTTACGTCCGAGGGCCTTGGATTGCGCCTGCAGGGTGGTGGAGACGGCAGGGCAGCCCTTGCCGGGGCCTTCAAGGTTCTGGAGCGTCTCGAGCGAGGCGGTAATGCGAGCCTGCTGCGACGCGACGCTGTCGTCCGTGGGGAAGTTGACAGCGACGCCGGTGTTGTTGACCTGGTGCCCGGCTTGGATGTTGGCGAAGAGGTCCTGAACCGGAGATCGATCAATAACTATGTTTCTGGACACGGCGTCGGTGTGAAGTACTTACAGCGATGAACAGGCTGCGCGGAGGAGGGCAGCTGCATGGGATCTTGATGGGCTTGCCGTCCGCACCGTTGACGGCGCCGTCGCAGTCACCAGTACCTTGCGTTTTCCGCGCATGAGCACATGCATTTGCTCAGGCAGGACGTCGAGGCAACTCACCGGTAGGGTTCACACCGGAGGAAAAGCCGAGGTCGGGGGCGAGTTGGTCGACCTGCTCGAGCGTAAGCCCGCTCGAGGATGTGGCGGTCGCGTCGTCGGCAGCGGAGGTTACAGTGGCCGCCGAAGTGGCAGGCGCAGCAGCGGCGCTCGTGGCGGGGGCAGCGGTCACTGCGGCCACGGTGGAGGCGCCGGCTGAGGCCTGCGCGTCCAGGCTCTTGGAGAGCGCTTGAAGGGTGGTGGATACAGCAGGGCAACCCTTGCCAGGCCTATGACAGGAAGACAGGGTGGGTGAACAAAGGTGTGTGCGATAAACAAAGGATGAAACGAACCCGACGAGGTTCTGCAGGGTCTCGAGGGCGGTCGTGATGCGCGCCTGCTCCGACGAGATGGAGTTGTCGGTCGGGAAGTTCACCAGCACACCGGTGTTGTTGACCTGATGACCGGCTTGGACGTTGGTAGTGAGCGCCTGTGGTTATAGGGTTGAGTTTACGCGGAAAAGTCCAACGCGATGCAAAAAGAACCGACCGCGATATATGTCGCGTTGTCCGGAGGGCAGTCGCATGGGATCTTGATAGGCTTCCCGTCTGCTCCGTTCTGCGCGTATCAAGGTCAGTTGCGGAGTCCGGATCAGCTCGAAATGGCACATACCACTGCTCCATCGCAGGACCCGGTACCGTCGGGGTTTAAGCCTGCAGTAAAGCCGAGAGGAGGCGCAAGCGCCGCGATCGTCGCAGCGTCGACGTCCGCTCTGCGGAGCTTCTGCAGCGGGAACGCAGAAATGGAGACTGAAGCGGCTAAGAAAGTAATCGCGATGGCGAAGGACTTCATTGTTTCTTCAGTTAAAGCTTGTAACGAGAGTGGTTGTTATCTGGAGTAGATCCGATAGCACAAAGTAAAGTAAAGCGTCGAGCCGATTCGTGAGCTAAGCACAGAAAAAGAAAGACGGGGCCGACACAGTCGGTGTTGTTGGGTGGGAGAGAGCAGGGAATGGAGGAACAAGCTGGAACAAGGGACGGAGAACGCGGCTCTATATAACGCGTCTACAATTAGCACCGGTCATGTGACCGGTTTGTAGAACTGAATGCATCGCCGGCCGCTTCATTCTGCTGCTACATCTCCGGCTCGGAAAGGACAAGCTTGGGAGCCAACTTGCGCCGGGTTGCCTTGATAACGGAGCAAGAGCGCGCACTGGTCGTGAAGGGACCACGTTTACCTGCTTAATCTGGCAGTGTCAGCGCTGTTCATGTTCATTTTGCCCTGTGAGCGGTCCCATCGAATGGTACGCGCCACCATCTATTACGATACGTGTGCGCGCTGTCCTGAACTGTCCACGTTGTATCCAGAAGGAGTAGCGTTCTGCACGGTACAGTACATGATCTATCGTAAGTTGTCATGATGTACATGGATGGATCCTGTCCGAGGCCACGAATAGATCGCGTCGGAACCGCTGGCCTTGTTTTCCAAATCTCGCGATGGCCCCGACGAAGAATTCCATCCAAGCTCTTCTCCCAGAAGATCTGCTCTTGATTGATAACCCTGAACGGATTGCGACGCTGTGGTCATCCTATGGATACATCTACCGGCTCCGAGTTCGTTCAGCATCGACCAACGCGTCATCCTCCGTTATCCTCAAGTCGATCCATCCCCCTTCGGAGCCTCATCCATCCGAATCGCACCTTCGGAAACTCTTGTCGTATCGAGTAGAACGCTGGTTCTATCGCAATAATTCATCTTCTCTGCAAGAACGCTCTCCTGAAGCGCGTCTCGCGCGAACGTTTCCGATCAACGCGGACGACGACGGCAGCCTTCTCCTGGAAGATCTCTCTCTTGAGTTTCCGTATCCAGCGAGAGGCGGTCTCGGCCTCGAGCCTACAAGATGCGTCTTGCGATGGCTTGCGAACTTCCATAGCTGCTTCTGGAACGCCCATCTACGACGCGAGCCTTCGCTACCCCTCATTCCGCCTCCCCTTCAAGCCGATGAGACTGTTCATAGGTCCGGAGTTTGGGCTCAGGGTACCTACTGGTACCTAGACACTCGCAAAGAAGAGGTTGAGCAGATCGATGAAGAAGAACACGATTGGCTACTTCCGTGGGTCGACAAGGTGGGTTACGGCCACTAGCCAACGATCACATGTGCAGCAATCCCGAGAACTAACGGGTATTTTACGCAGGTCAACAACGCAGTGAAATCGCGGGCTCGATCGCACGGAACTTTACTGCATGGAGACGTCAAGGGCGCCAATATTCTCTTCACGCACTCGCCATGGTCACGCCCTGAGGAGCTATCCGACCTGCGATGCGCGTTATACGACCTCCAATACGTAGGCGTCGGTCTTCCTACGCATGACCTCGTTTACTTCATTGGCACGACCGTCTCTTCATCGCTCTTGAAGAGTAGAGAGCACGAGCAGGCCCTTCTCGACTATTACTACGGCATCCTTAGCCAACGGCTCGCCTCCGGTCCCTCAGGTGATCGGTCGGCGATCTACGAGCGGGAACGATTCATCAAAGACTGGGAACTGTCCTTGGTCGACTGGTACCGCTTCATGGCAGGATGGGGTTTCTGGGGCAACGACAGCTGGGTGGAGGCCAGAGTGCGTGAAATCATCAAAGACTGGTCAGCTGGAGGTTGGGATTCGGTCGCAGTGTGAGTTCTTATACCAAATCACAACTGACAAGCCAAAATTCATATCCAGCATCAGATCTTGAAGCCGCCCGCCAGGCACATCACATCCGCAGGGTCATACTTGCGCTTGATCTGCCGCAAAAAGGGTAGATGCTGCCCGTAGAGGTGCTCCACTGGCGTTCCGTATGCCGCGTAATTCGGATACTTCGATGCGTTTGGGTCGGTCGGGTCGGCCTGCGTCTGTCCTAGAGCGACGGCCTTTTCTCTCAGACGGATGCCGGAAGATACCATCGAATCGTGGACGAGTTTGTCGGCGGATGGGTTGCTCCAGATGGCGTTGATGTTCCCGGGCATGAGGACCACGTCGCGCGTGGCGGGATACGCGGACGGGGGATACCCGGGGATGGTCTCTGCGTGCGAGTAGATGGTCGGTAAGAAGATTTCTGCGAGATAGCCTATAAACGAAGCATTTGCGGCGTCGCCCAGTTGCGCAGTGGTTACCTGTTCACTTGTTAGCATTCTAGTCATCACGTGGAACGGACGAGACGGGAGTGTAGAGTAGCAGTAACGAGTGTATAGCGGCGGGAATACAATGAGCGTTGGCCGTAGACTGGCGTTGTCGAGACCAAGAGCGAACGTGCGGCTCTGCGTTGCTTAGTACATTACAAAGAAAGGGGCAATGCCCCGAAAGGTACATGGGCTCGGGTGCGTCAAAAACCTCCCAAATGGTGAGGAAAAGCTACCGGCCGTCTACATTACGTGCGGGTAACCTTGTCCACCACACGCTATGGATTGTTAAATTATTCCTCCACGGCACACGCTTTGGATCTCGGTGGAAATGTGTTGAACCACGACGATTCAAATTGGAGACTCTCTGCCTCCAATTGCCACCACTTTGTGAAGCTCGTAATCCTGAACTTCAGGTGATGACGACTGTTCTGTCCGTCAGCAATCTGCGGAGGATATATGTATGTCGAGACATACTAAATTGGTGATTGCCATAGTGGTATTGTTTCGGAATCGGAGGTTCGAACTCGTGGCACTGTCGGCCGTCATTCCCGAGGGTACAGTACATGGTTCCTCTGTGACCTGGGAGGTGGCACGACTATTCAACCTACACATTTTATCAATGCATTGGTCATCATTGGTAGGTGTGGTACTTACACGGCCATGACAGAGTTAGTATAAACTAGCTCAAGACCTGTTCTTGAGCCTAATCTCGCAAACATACAAAGCAAGTTCATCGCACCTTTTCCAAGTACTGCATGAAAGGCAGTCCATATCAGCAAATCTCGCCAAATCAGGAACTGGAAGCATCCTGTCTAAGTAGGGTGTATGCCATCAGGCTCAACACATACTGATACTAAGTAGCATGTCTGCAGCATGCTGAATGCGAGATCGTGAGCTGATGGAGTGCAGACAGTTATATTAACTCACGCTGCAAAGGTGCCACGGTTAGCCAAGAAAAATACGATCCATCGCACCCGGTAATGTGTCCTGTTCGACAATAGGTCAGTTTGTTAGACACCGTATCGGGTGAGGAGCATTACTCACTTAGTCCACAATGTCTTCTTGTGATGCAAAATGAAGGAAAGGATCAATGTAATCATGATATCCGTGGCAGTCTCTATGGATTTATTAGAGATCACCAAATGCTGCATCTTTTCAGTATGTTCTTCATTGCCACGAAAGTACAGTGAAGTACCAGCATGACAGGTAGATCTGTCTCTGTCCATTCTCCCACAATAAATCTGAGATACACGGCACCATAATTTGATGGTTAATGGCACTGAATACAAGGGGGTCAATGGTAAACGCACGTGTATGCTGTAATAGCTGAAGTAGATCAACCCGATCAGGTCAGGTGGCCGCTTTTCAATGCGCATGGTTGTACTCACAGACTCCCAACGCTGAGACTGGTTCATGATGCTTTCTTGTGATGTTCATCGTAACGACTCACCATATCCGGCAAGAGCACAGAGAGTCTTGATGTAGGGTGTCAAAGCTGTAACAACACATGACCTGAGGTGACATCACGCACTATGAGGATGCATGTTATCCTAGAGCGCGACACTGATCCAGGTTGATGATCAGTATAAACGAGCTCATGCAGAAAATCCAAAGTAAGCATACAAATCCATATCCGGTGAATAAAGAAGCTATCAAAAATCCGTAAACATTGCACGGGCTTTCCACATCTTGATAATTACCAGTGAGAAACAACGATAGTCGTGAACTACATGAATATATATAAGTATCGATCATCGAGCTTTAAGATAGAATCTCACCGTGAACAAGCTCTCAAGCTACCAGGGTGTAAGCCACGGTGGGCAGAACGTGCAATGATTCAACTCACAGAGAGACTCCATACAAGATTTTCGAGAACGGCAGGATTTGCGTAGTTCGCGACCAGATAGTAGTATAGAGCATAGCCAATCGAGACGATGCTAACTGTATCACATATCCTAGATCATTGACTGTCAATCCATGTAGCATTTTACTGCATTGTGGCGGGTACCAGAGCGTGGTGACCTGCAGAAATTTAGTATATAGTATAGGACTTCGAACATTATACATTACATATGCTTTTACGGCTGCTGGATCGCCGAACGTGATGAAGTAGAAGTACATCTGAGCAGTGGACACTCCCCAGAACCTGATCATCATAGGAGTCAACAAAGATATTGGATGCCATGACATGCGAATTGGAACCAATATGCGTACGCGGCGGCTGCGATAGCGGCGATAAGCATGACACCATAGGTGGCCCCAATGTCAAAGTTTGCCATGAGAGATCGTGTTAGAGCACTCTCCAACGTATTTGTATGGTCGTATATAGACTTGACTGCGTCGTCGCGGCGGTGTGCGAGCTCAGGAGCGTTGAGTCGGGGATTCCACCCTCGACTTGTGATGCTAAATATGCTGCTTTCCAAAGCGCTGATCGAAGTCCTAGCATTACGCTTTCGGGGCAGCGACCCTGAGTGCAGATGGCCAGAGGTCTATTGTTATCCTCATGGTGATGCGGATAGATACCGGCCTTAAATTAATTCCTTGATTGGGGCCTGTGGCACCGATGAAGCGGCAAAGGTCTATCGATATCCTCAGGGCAATGCAGACTGACATAGCCCTGACGCAGCATCTTGATAGAGGCCCTATGGCACGGAACGATGCTGAAACCCGGCCATTAATATGAAAGATGGCAGTCGAAGCGGAGTCGCTGGATCTACGGGTAATTGCGACGGATTGCGAGCCCCCGCGAGCATCTGGTGTACTCAACTCTCATGTCACAACGCTGCTCGGTCTCTCCGTCACACAGCTCTGGCTGGGAGCCTGTCTGATATATTCGCGAGGAGATGCAGTCATTGGGTAATGTCACAATATCATACCTTGAAACCACCTGCAAGCCCCATAACATTCGCGGGGTCGTACCTACGCTTGGTCCTTTGCAGTAAAGGCAGGTGTTGTCCATACAGATCTCCCACCGGCGTTCCGTATGTCGCATAATTTGGGTACTTCGAAGAGTTGGGATCGTTGGGATTCGCTTGCGCCTGACCTTGGGCAACCGCCTGCTCCCTCAGGCGGATACCAGACGCTACGACCGTGCTGTGCACGAGGTCATCGGCGGACGGATTGTTCCAGACCACCGTGGTCGCCCCTGGCATGAGAACGACGTCGCGCGTCGCAGGATATGCCGATGGCGGGTACCCATAGACCGTGATTGCATGGGAGTAAATAGATGGAAGGAAGAATTCCGCGGTGTAGCCGATGAAGGTGGCGTTGGCGGCGTCCGTCAACAGAGCGGACGTCGTCTACAGCTTGGTCAGCACAACTGCCCACGTTCGCGGGGCCAACACATACAAGCGTCTCGTTTTTCATAACGTGCAGCATAGCGTCTGAGTAGTTGCCGATAGGCGTCGACTCGAGTATGACACTGCAAGCCGTCAGTGAGTGTAAAAACAGTACAAGCACGAGACGGCACCCACCGCGGCAGCGCAGGCTGAGGACCTGCTGCGAAGAATTCCAAAAATGACTGAGTGGTAGCAGCTCCCGTCAAAGCCGGTAGCTGGAGGAAATCTTCGAAGATGCTGGCTGGAGGTGAAGGCGCGTCATAGAAGATTTGCACTTGTGCAAACAAACCCGACTATGTAAATGATGTCTCGGTTCAGCAAGAGCGCGAAAAATCGTGATGTTACTCACTACGCCACTGCTGGTACCGAAAATGATCAACAGTTGAGCTTTTGGATCGTCAACCTCAATCTGATACTTCGACGACGCGGCAATGACGTTCTCTATCTCGTCCATCCCAAATGTGAAGAAACCTCCCTGGATGATATATGAATATAGCGTAATCTGAAGATGAACAACCTTGCTTACCCATACATCATCTTGAGGATAAGTCTTCAGCACGTAGTTGACGATGACTCCCTGGCATATCCGTCCATTAGCTAGAGAAAGGAGGTGAAGATGTATGCATACGAAGTTGTTCCCTCCGCCCTGAACCAGAGTCAAATATGAGACGACACTCTGATGGGGCGAGCGTACCTTCAATGCGAAGAAAAGATCCGGATGTTCGCGAGCCGTCGCATTGACAATCTCACCAGTGGGTAGCACGACCGTCATGGACAATATGTTGTCGACGGATAAGCCATGCTGATTCGTTTTCCAAGAATACCCTGGAGCTAGGGTCATCACCAGATCTTCGCCACAGATATGACGGTGAATCCTACCTCCGCCCAACAATAGCCCTCCTACACCAACCCCAGGAGTTCGGCCTCCTACGACAGTGACATTGAATGGAGCAAGTGCCGCATACACGTCGTCCCAGATTTGACCAGGACCGATCTGAGCGGTTTGACTATCGGGATTGTATACGACGTGGTGGAACCTGGCCAAGGATATTTGTACGCCAAGAGTGGACGAAAATCCAGGGTTTACGCTGTGGCCCCCGCTTTTGACCTAACGCATGGGATTCATTAAAAACTCGAGAGGGCTTAGCTTCGTGGTACTAGCGTACGGCAAAGGGAGTTCGTTGGGTGCCGACAATCTTCAGCTGAAGTGAAATATGAGCTCGCGTCAAGTCGCGTTCGAAAACGTCTCGTACAATAGTACCGACGTCCTCTGCTGTACCCGGCTCCACGGAGCAAGCCGCTTGCTCGATGCTTTTCAAGCTCCAATGCGATATATCGTCGCTATAGTTCTGCGAACCTGTTGAGAATCAGAGAGCGTATGTGCGTGATGCAAGAGTCTGCCGCTAACCTGCATGATACACGGCAGACTTCGGGCCTATTGCTGCTGCTATTTTATCACAAGTCGCGTCAAAACGCGTACGCGGTCTCGGTATCACGGCACGTATGCAGCCTATATGACAAGACAATGCTAGGAGGAGGACGAAAGACTTCCATTCGCACAGGGTCGTCATCGAGGAAGAGGCGACGAATTCGTTGATGCGACAACCTATAGCTATGAGCCTCGGAGTTGGTGGTGGCGTGGCGGGACCTGACCATCAAACAGCATACAAACCACGAGACAGTGCCGACCGCGTGCAAAGGATCGGTGCAGCCAGTGGTGGGACTCAGAGAGAAGCTTACAAGGCGTATGATTTTGTTCGCTCATATAGATGGGGTATTATAGAGAAGCAGCGAATTGCATTCGTGGAGGGGGTGAGAGCCATACTGTAGTGCGAAGGTAGGGCTAGGCCTATCAAATGCAAGATAGATGCGAGGGCCGAGGCAAGATCAGAGGCTGCCGAGGCGGTAGGTAAAAGGATGTAGTATGGACGTGATATAGGAACGACAAGGCGGGTTCGGGATCGCTTCGAGAGAGCTACTGAGTTGCGAGCGGGGTGGGTATGCGTCGAGACTACTGGCTAAGATCGGACGATATCGAATGTTACAGTAATTCCCTTCCTTTCGAGACTACGTACTTTGGGCCTCTTATACCCTCCAGTCCTTCCGCTCCCGTCCAATCCTCGTCCTCCGATCGTTTGGCGGATGCCGGTCCTGAGGACGCGCCAATGCGCGCACGCCTCGTAAGCCGTCGAATAGTCACAGAAGGGCGCAGAACGTCGTCGGGGTGGTGATGCTGGCCGCCGGTGTCCGATACTGCAGTGATCGAGCCGGGATCGCGTTTTGCTTGATGTCCGAG